TGTCCAGACATTTCACGTGGACCCTAACATCGGTAACGTGCCCGGACATTTCACGTGGATCGTAAATCACGTGCCCGAACATTTTTCTTCGCCATGGCTAGGATACTATAAATACTATATAAATTCATCATGATCCCCCATATTGCCGATCAGGGATGAATCTAGGGTGAATCAAGAAAAGGAATCCGGATGAATCAAGAACGGGAATTTTGCGTTGAAGAGGTGAATATCAATTACGATAAGAGGAGTGACAAATATTAGCTAACATCCTGGCCAAATCTCAGGTGTTAATATAATATCACTTGCATGTGTTAAGTGAAATCTCAGTAGGGGGAGGTCTCTATAATATAATGAATATTAGCTAATATTTGTATAAATTAGCTGATCCAAGTATAATCGGCAAAATTTGCAAGATTGTTGATGAGCATTAATTCTTGGTAGAATGTTCATGCAGCTAATGAAGAATTTCTGCAATTAAGTTAATTTTCGTTTCTTGCAGTTTATTATTATAGTTAAGACGAATTACATATGATCAATGTAAATATAATTTAGAGCAAAGGTAGTAATTGAAATTCATACAATTTCCAATGGAAACGTGTACCGCCGAAGAATAAGAACGTGATCTAATATTTTTTGTGAAACTTTTTCTTGTCCTTTGAGGCACCAGGAAATCCTTTTTTCACTTTTATTTTTTTCCTCTCTTTCATACCAAACACTTCATCTTTCATATCAAGCACTTCATCTTTCTTGCGAGGATTTTTCATACCAAACACATCATTTCTTTGGCGAGGTTTTTTCACACGAATTTGGCTTAAAACTTTATCAGTGAATTTTCTCTCTGTTTCTTTCGCCTTCTCTTTCGCTTCGGTTATATCATCAGTACCATATTCTTTTTTGAGTTTTTCTTCATACTCTAGTTTGGCCCTATATCCAAAATATACTGGATCGGTTCTTTTTACATATTCATAGCATACCCGACGTTCATTTAAAACAAATTTGATTCTCGCCATGGCTTTTACGCACTATTGCCAAATACAAAATGGAAATAAAAAATAAATTAAAAATATCAAACGCGCTCCAATAGATATAATATAAAATACCTTAAAATTTCTTTTTTTGTGAGCTTCTGCCCAAGGACCTTCATACTTGTTGAATCTTTTAGCTTCTTGTTTCATGGTAGCCAACATATTTCGTTCCTTGAGTGAAATATACCATAATTTGTGTAAATCATCAAATTTTTTTTTGCGAAGTTCAGCTGCTCGCCATGAGCGCCCTTTCTTCCCAAAAAAGAGAATTAATTGGCTAAAATAATCCAAGAAATATTAATTAAAATATTGCAAAATTATTAGTAAAGAGAAAACACACCAACTTGTAACTCGTCAATACTCGCTAATGCCTTCTTTCCATCTAAAAAAAACTCATACAAGCCTTTAATATCTCTGTGCTTTCGTGACTCAAGAACAGAGCTTTCGGTACTTTGTTGAGTTCCCAAATAGCGACGAAAGCAAGTTATAGTCTTGAGGCTGAGCCGAACTTGACTCGAAGGTTTTAACAAAGTAGAAAAGTTCATGTCAGTTAAACAGTTGGACAAAAACGCGAATTTTTCTTATGGGGTGTCTTATCAGGTGATTTCGATTTACTATGACGATAATCGATAATCTGAATATTTCATAACGATAAGACTCCAAAAAACAATAATGGTTAACTTGGGAATTGTTGGTGTAGGCTTAGTTGGCTCTGAACTCATCTCACAATTACTTTCCTATTCTATCCACGCCTCTTCTCACTCTCCAAAATTTAATGTTGTCGCGCTTGCAAATACCTCTAAGCACCTTTTGAGTAACGCGTCTTATGATTCCTTGGACCTCTCTTCGTGGCATTCAATCCTGAAAACAAACGGCGTTCCTGTAAATATCAATGCTTTTGTTGAGTATCTCTCAAATAGCCCTGATACCACAGTTGTAGTTGATAATACTGCTAGCCAGGAAATTGCCCACCTATATCCACATTTCCTGAGAAAAGGTCTTCATGTTGTGACCCCAAATAAGAAAGCATTCTCGGGTGATATAAAACTTTATAAAGAGATATTAGCAGAAGCAACGAAAAACCGTAAACTAGTTTACCATGAGAGTAGTGTGGGTGCTGGCTTACCTGTGTTGAGCACATTAAATGATTTGGTTAGAACTGGTGATGAAATTATCAAAATCGAAGGAATTTTCTCTGGAACATTGAGCTACTTGTTTAATAATTTTTCATCTTTGAGTATCGGCAATGAAACATCCAAGTTCTCTGATATTGTTAAGGTTGCCAAAAATAACGGATACACGGTAAAGTTCATGTATATACAAGGGATTTCGCATATTTCTCAATAAAGAAGATTCGTAGATAATATTATTCCAATATAGGAACCAGATCCTCGTGATGATTTGAATGGTCTAGATGTAGCCCGCAAGGTATTCATAACGTGAAATGCAAACGCAAAAATTTTCTATCGAGATTTTTAATTCATGTCTACTACTATAGGTTATTATACTTGGTCGTATTGCCGGTTTAGATCTTACTCTCGAAACGTTACCCGTCGAAAATATTGTTCCGGAAAGTTTACGTGCGGTACCTTCCTCGGCAGAATTCCTAGCCAAATTGCCCGAGTTCGATAATCACTTTGAGAATCTTAATCAAAAGGCGCGAAACAACAATCAAGTTTTGAGATACATTGGGACGGTGGATGTGAAAAGTGGCAATAGTTCAGTCAATTTGATGAGGTATATTAAAAACAATTTATTATGATCGTTGGACAAATCTCTAATTAATCAAATTCCTTTCAAAGTTTGCCGGTCTCTCATCCGTTCGCATCGCTTAAGGGAAGTGATAACATTATAGCATTTACCACACGACGATTCCCAAGTCCACTTATCATCCAGGGTGCTGGAGCAGGTTCTGCAGTAACAGCTTTTGGAGTTTTCTCAGACTTATTTAAAGTTGCAGAAAGAAGCAGCTAAACACGAGCTCCTTATTATTGACAAATATATTTAACAAAATGTATCGTTTCAATGTAGAAAAATAAAAAACATTACAAACATTGTCGAGTTAAACGGTCAAACAAAAAAATCTAGACATTTCAAAATGAAATAAATTTATACCTAAAGAATTTTCAATAAATAAAATAAAGAGATAAAATGTAAAATTTATTCCATGCGTCTTTCCTATAGTGTGATAAATTCTTTGTTTAATAAACTTCTTAGTAAGTCATTCACCACAGGCAATTTGGAAGTTGACTCTGTTGACGACTTAGGATCACCCTCCGTTTCCGTCTCTGTCTCTTTGCCCTTCCTTCTACGTAAACCCTCATCATTTTGGCTATTGCTCTCTTGCTGTTCTAATTCTAATCGTTTTTGATCAACAGCTTCGACCATTCTTTGAAATTGATAAAAGAGCATTTCGGCACGACATAATGTTTCCTCCAATGATATGGTCATCGAAAGATCGTTAATATACTAAATAATAGAATATAAATTAGTATATGTGCTATAACTAAATAACTACAAGTTATTAACGAAAATTTAAACCTTTAGTATCTCATCAAAATTGTTAAGATAATCCATTATGACTAGACGATGCTTATCCAAAATGGCCAATGCGACAAATATATGAAATTGGCCTGTCAAATGATCAGACCAAAGAACTTCCCAAAGACGCGGCACTTCATCCCATTTAAATTCGCGTTTAAACCATATTAGAAGCCAACGGAAACAACAAAAAAGATTCAAGGATTCGGCCCTTTCTAATAAATAATGAAGGATCATTAGATGTGATGACACAATTTTAAAGAAAATATTTCCCAATCTTAAAAAACACTTACGAAGATGCTTATAAAGTCTTGGATCCATGAATTGTATTAAATGGTCGAGAGTTAGTAATTGACGACGCATACCAGATTGATCTCGGTAAAAATTTGATTTCTAAAAGAAAATTCAGTGATTTATATTATATAAAATCAAATGCGATCCAAAGTTCTATAATCCCGAATTATTTCTTTACCATTCGTTCCATAAAGCCAGCAAATGTCCAAAAGGCTGTAACTTCGTCAAGCATAACAGCAAAAATTGGAGCTAACAAATCACTCATTCCTTGTACATAACCTACACGGATAGATCATTAATGTTAGGAGAATATTATAAGAAAGGAAAAGAATCATTTAACTTTTAAATCTTTACCAAGATCTGTATTATAAAAATTGTAAGTCATCAGAATATCCTTCATTAGTTCCAAATTCTTATTTGTGAAATTTGAAGAGGATGATAAGGGTTCAGGATGAGGAAGATCTTCATTCTTAAAAAAAGGCACTGTCCGATCTGTCCGTACAACATCTTTCTCTATGTCAATTTTATCATATACATCTGAAAATTAGTATAGAATAACTCTGAAAAAAAAGACTCAAAAGATTCAGCAAATAATGTCCGAACCTATTCTATTTTTCTGTTCTTGGAAATCAGGGTCGTCATGAATATCTGGTGAATCCCACCACTTACGCTTTATATTCCAATATTCTTGACTATAAAAAGATAAGAACGTGTCTAAATATGATCTATTTCTAAGTTGATTTAAAGAATAATATAAAATACTTACTGTTTTGCTTCCATTATGTTTTCCCTTTCAACTTGACTTGATTCCCAAGGATAGAATCCTAAAAGGAATTTCCACACTTCTACACGGATATCTTCTTCAACGCCCTTTGGAATTTCAAGAAATATAACAAATACTTGACATATTGTTTAAGCTTAAGTAATAATTAGGAATTTTACATACTCCGCAAAATATAGCAGCTCGAACTTCTTTGAGTTCAACTTGAAGCCGTCCTTCCGCATCAAAGAAGGAAAACCAATTGTCTGCTTTCAAAGGCGTGGTTCGCGTATGATGTATCGGGGGTAAACTTGTGCCGCTCTAATCGATCAATTTATTAATAAAACTACAATTCATAAACAATTATGGCTATTTTATTAAAATAAAGTCTTCGTTCGATCCATTATTTAATAAAACATACACTAAGGATTTCAAAGGCTCCCAGTTCAGTTTCCTCCTGCCAGGATTTAGAAGAATCTGCATCATCAATCAATTGACCTCTCCATGCAGCTAATCGCGAATTGTTAGATTCGTCCTGCTCTAATATTGCAGCAGCTTCAGCTTCTTCTGCGACACGGGCTGCCCATTTAGCTAAATATATTCTGCCATAATCAAATTCGTGCGTGTCATTTGTGTCGGAGTGAGTAGATTCATTCTGCACAAATGAATTTACAGCCGGAGGAAGGTGTGGAAGTATAGGGCGCGCAAGAGGATGTTCGAGGATAGAAGCTGCTGTATCGCGAGTAAAACGTGATACCTTGGAAAATTTTTCAAGAACATTCCATCGAATTTCTTTGACAGTCTAAATTTCAAAATTCGATGTAATTTATAAATTTCATTGTGAGAAACATTGATGTGAAAAACCTTACAGCAGTTAAGGGATCCATTTGTATCGATGAAGGTCCAGTCCTAGAAGTATCTATATTGCTCGTAGAAGTCTCGTCTGAAATAGGCGGGCTATGATTAGATATATCTTCAGGCGATGGGTTTATCAGAAATAGATTGGGCTCAATAGAAGAGCTATTATGTATATTCAGACAGAAGAATTAATTTTCTCAATAAATTATTTCGATTATCACGTGATGAATTCATCACGTGATAACATGTTGAATGGTACGTATTTGCATAAATTATGAAATTGGGTATACCTATGAACATGACAAAATTTCTTAAGCAAATATATTACTTCGTCACCTCCCCAAGTAATAGTATTATTTTCTGTTTCTTCTTGATCGTCTGTATGATTAGAAGCTTCTTTTTGCCTTTTACGCTGCAGTCTCGTGCTTCGACTCTCGTCATCGTGAAACACAAAAGCAGGTAATGTGTTGCCTCCAATAAGATTGATTATAATAGAACCGTACCATTGCGTAAATTTGGGCGGTAAAACCACAATAGAGTAAATAGAAGAGATCGGGGCAGAAGTGGCATATAATGTTTCCGCAGTTGGAGATGACACATTCGTGAGAGATACAGGTGGAGAGATTAATATTGTTGCTATATTAAAAAAGAAACATATATAAAAGAATCAGTAATTTCATTATGTATTTTAGTAATTTGTAGATAATAGATAAACACTGTCATACATCCAAGCCCATGTTCATCATCATCAATTCCCTCTTCGACCAACCAACCTTCGTCCTCTTCTGAATTTATTAGGCCAGGATAGGCTTCAACTTGAACATAGGATTCTAATTGATCAGCCGAGAGTAATGACTCTGGAGTCCAAGCTAAATAATAATTTTTTGGCGACTTTGTTTGAAAAGCGGCAAATATGAGAAATAATGTTAGAAGATATAAAGATTTGAATATATTTGATTACGAGGTCTATATTATCCAACTTTTTTACCCGTTCAAGAATAGATATATATCCTGGAATGTTATCCGCGTCATTGTTACTAGGGTGAACATATACTTTGCTTTTTGAATATACGAGTCTAACTTGTGATACGTGCATTTGTTGTTCTAATTGGTGTAATGCGTCTCGTTGGTTTGTGTTAAATGTAAATTCTTCGGGCTATATTATACAGAACGTTAAACAATTAATAAAGCTAAGGTATAAAGGTATGCCAAAACGAGTCTCAACTTACCAGTATACTAGACAACTGCACCATTTCACTAGGCGAATTCTTCGAATTATTTTGTTCTTCAGGTGGTGGTATTCCTCCGCCCATTGATCAGTTTATATCAATAAGTAACTTGTTGGGAGAACGTCTATATATATATAAATATATCAAACTTTGCCAAGGAACAAGTTTACGTGTTGTTATTGACGTTGATCATAATAACAATGTATATAAATAGATAGATTTACTTTATTGTGATTTTTGTGCTGTTCGCGAAGAAGCGAAAAATGGATCTTTCTGTTGTTCACAGACAAATTGAAGAAGCCTGCAATGACATGCAGGTATATCAACTTCTTTTTAATTTTCAACTCTTTGTGATGCTAACTAAACTCGATCGTGAAGGCCCAATTTTTTCACAATATGACCAAATGTAAAAAATTTGGTATTCTCGTTCTATAATTACATAATTGCCTTCTGAAAGGGTCAAAATGCTCAAGTCACATACTCATATTAAATAACTACTAGAAGTTGTTAAATTTACCTTTAGTTAACCAAAAAACTTGTTCCCTCGTTGTGCGAAGGTACCTGCTACTCGTCTTGCGGGAGAGCAAGTACTTTTAAGTTTCAAGCAGGCCTCTGGCAATTTGGAAGCTTGTAAATACATACTGGGTACGTATTATGTTGTTTGATTTATAATTTATCGACGCATGAACTTTATTACCTCAACAAAGTAAAACTCTTATTTATTGTTATAGTCAAATTTATTAAAGTCGGCTATTTTCTCTTGAATTTTTTAACTAATTATATAATATTGTGAAAATTTGTAATACAACAGAACATACACAAAATCATCGAGTCCAATTTTATATGGCATCCGCTATCAAAGAATCGGTGACTCGAGAATATAATTTGTATGCAAAGGATTATTTATTGAATTTGAAAATTTGGCTACTACATTATTGTCTGAATCTGCCAAAGTATGTATACTATTTTGAGCTTGATGTTTCCCGTCTATGTATAAGATGAATTTTTATTTTAAGAAACGTTTTCTCTAAACTCCAGTTGATTCTAAAATGTGTATGATACTTAGTCTTGCTAACTATGCACGTGAGCAGTTATTACATGCGATTTCCGTTGTTACAAAACGCAGTCTTGACGATTACTATGATGAAGAGAAGCAAGCTATATTAGCACAAGTACAAGAATTAGTTAGTTCGACCGGCTATTCCGTAAGATCCCTTTTTCTCTATTATTAAACTTGTTATACTTTTTAAGCTATATTTATATAACTTTAATGCATTTCTGTCAGCAACAAATAGGCATTGGCCTGGCCAACGCATTAACCGATGAATTTTCGACTACAAAATCTAGTAATGTTGGTGTTACTTGGAACTTTCATAAAAAGAGTAAAGACTTCTTTGAGGCAAGCGTTTTTTAAAAGTAAATGCTATTCATTTATATTTTAAAAAATTAAATGGTGATTTTTTTTAGGCGAATATTCTTTTACCCTTTTTTGAGATTGTACTTCGGGTCTTACATCAACAATTACAGTTATACACAGTAAAAGAAAATGGAACTGAAACAAATTCTCATCGACCGGATCCTCGAAATGATACGCTTTTAGCGATTGCTGTTGCTTTGGCGGAAAAGATCTTAACCTGGGACTTTTCGAATCTCAATGATACAGTATTGGCGGGAACATTTATTCTGGAAGGAAGCGACACTATACTTCCAGAAGATGAATTATTTCTGACGGCCAAAACAAGGGCATTTCCACCTCAGTGGAGAAACATTTTATTAAACAGCGATGTCTTGCAAATGTTTTTTACGGTATAGTCATAATTATTCGGAGGTTTCACTTAAAATTTATCTTACATCAATATTTTTTTGTAATTCCTTAGCTTCTTAAAGCCGTACAAGAATCAGAGATGTTAATGCATAGAACCCGACAATGTTTAATCCAACTTTCAGGATTGCGCGTTGAAATTTTCGAAAACGAGGCCCAAATCAAGGAGTATATGTCCATAATTATTCGTGGAATAATGACTTTTATAAATGAGTAAGTGCTTTTTGGATACTATAAAGTATGATATTTATCATATTTACCATAAGAATAATAATCCTTATATTGCATAGTCTATCTGTTGATCTTCCAGAGAGATCTGCCTCTCATGAATATGGACCTAGGCTTCTTGGGGTGACCCAAATGATTAGACGTTTTCTTTGTACGATTCCTCTGGATATCTTATGTAGCAATTCAGAAATATATTCGTTTTTACAAGAAGTTGCACAGTTAACTGCAATATGCCTAAGAGAAACTTCAACTGATAAAGATGGATTAGGCTATCTGGTAGAAGAAAGCACTTGGAGCATGGAAGCTTTTGACGAGTTATTGGCTATATGGGTAAAATTAGGTAGGGGTAATTTAAATTGATTTTTCTTTGAGCTTTTTTAAGTGTTTTTTATAACTTGATTTCTTTTTGATACCAGTTCAAGATGTGCAAAATTATATCAATCCTAATCCTTACTCGACTCATGAAATTGATATAACACGCGCACAAATGTCTTCATTTAACCCTGAGGGAATTATGGGATTTTTGGCTGAAGCCAGTTATCACATCACTGCCACGTATATAGATACTCGCATTGAAATAGCTAAATTTGCAATATTTGAGGAGGATGATTATGGCGAATATAAAGATTGGGTAATTTATCATCATAGCATTTCTTTAAACTATTAATATTTCGCTATTATTAATTTATGCGACTATATTTTAAGGATACTTACGGAGATCAATTAATGAGCATTGCTATTTTGGGACGCGTTGTTGGGCAGAAAACTTTGGAGAGATTACAGGGATTGCTTCATGAACGATTCTCGCGGCTAAAAACATTCTTTAATACTGGCGTAGCAGTAGATGGAAGCAGTATAGTGTCTTGTATTGAGTTTTTTAAATCTGTGTATAATTGGGAGATTTACGTCCCATGTCTTTTCACCTACTAGAATTTTTATTATTCCTTATTAGATAATTATCTGAGCTCACTTCATGAGGCTACTCATTGGCTGATTCTTATCAGCGGGTTTATGCTAACGGATTCAGGCGAAAGTGAAACGCTACTTGTTCCCGATGCTTTGATGCAACTATCAATACCCCAGGTAAAAAAATTGTTATACTATAAATTTAAATTGACATCATTAACAATGTCCATTTAGAGTAATCTCGGCAAGAATCGTGACCAAGTTGTAATGTTGCCAAAAATTATAATAGAAATTTTAGAACTTTTTTCTTTAGACTCGTCAACTGTAGAGGTATGCGCGCTTTGATTTTATCATCACCACCTATACATTCCATTAACTATTACATACATAAAAGGCTTCCCATTGTAGTCCTCGAGTTGCAGAGACTTTATTCTGGTTCTTAGAAAGATGGGCAAAAACATATCTACTAATTGACGAAAGTTATTATTCATCAATGAGGTTCTATTACTAATCTAATCGTTTCTTGTATTCGCTCGCTATTTATTTTCTTCCAACTTTATTAATTTTAAATAATTGTTCATCTTCAAAGCCAGAATCTTGTTGCCGCTTTTGGTAAACCAACTTCTCAAGGTGAAGGCATCCGAATACTGGAATTGATAATTGAATTAACAAAAAGAAACTTTGTGTTATGGAATGCCGATGTTGATCCATTGTTACAGGTTTGTTTCTCGATGATTATTAAATTATTCTTGATGAACATGATTATACTAGTAAGAAATTATTTATATATAGATTGTGAGGATGCTCAATTCGTTCGCCAAAGAATCCGCATTAAGAAATGGTTTACTACAATCAGGTAAGAATTGTGATGATGTGTTTTGAATTCTTAATGGCTCTAAATAATACAAGTAACTTATTTTTTTTTTGAATACATAGAAAAATTTATATCGTTGATTACATTTTTCACAGATAACTTAAATACCCTTCCGGAAGTGATACATAAGTTTGTGTTTCGAGTATTTTGTCTTATTGCATTCCCACCGTAGAAAATTGTAATATATTATCTATTGAAATCATTAGCATCTTGATACAAACTATTACAATAATAACTTCTGGAGAATCTAACCCAGATTTGAGGCTAAATTATTTTAAGATCATTGCTCAAGCCATTGAGGTATTATTATTTGTTTAAATAATGTATAATTTGAGTTTCTAAAATTTACAAATATCCATATTTTCAAATATAGAAACGACTAATAAACGCTTTACAGCGTCCAGATTTTGATCAAAAATACCAGCAAGCTGATGTTATGACTGATGTCATGAATGCTTTGGAGGTCCGTTATTTGCATAGAATGATTGCTCACTAAAAACTGATTATTATCTCATTATTTCTGCCTGTAGATGTTTGATGGACTTGCACTGGCCTCTAGCATATCTAATAATGCTATGGTGTTCTCTTTTTGCGCCAAATATTTTGAATCTTTTGTGCGAATATTACAATATTATCAAAACTGCCCCGAAGTTGTAATATTGGTGCTTCGATTTTTTAAATCATTTGTCGGTCACATTGAATTCAGTCAACTCGCAACAGAGCAGAATCAATTAGCGTATAAAACTATCGGGGAAATATTTAAAGTCTATTCCGAAGCAAATTTGGGTATTTATACTCTCTTTACTATATCGATGTGAATAATATTTCAACTAAGTTTTAAATCCATTTTAGGCAAAAATCTCTCGAAATTAATAGAAGAGGGAAACGAAGAACCATATTCTGATATTTCTATTCTATTGAGTTTATTGTCTGAATTGATAGCAACGGATTTTCGCGGATTTTGTAAGTATTTTTTGTTTATTCTATGTTTAGTTGATACTTGAGTCTATAATTAATTGATTTTCTAAAATACGAATACAATAAGTCGAATCTGATTCTGCGCAAGACACATCAGGAAACCTAAATGTTCCTAATATTGTATTTTATGGAATAAATCAATTGGTGCCGTTGATAAATCAAGAAATGCTCAAAGTAATTTATTCAGCTGTTTTTTACATCTACTTTTGGTGTATCTTTTTTAGCTTGTTCGCTATTTATATCCATGGGTTTATTTTAACAGATACCGCGATTGTGCAGTGGGTACATTCGGCTTGTTTCCAATATCATTGAATCATATCCTCACAGATTGATCAACCTATCCGCCGAATTACTCAACAGTTTAATGGCTTCTTTGGAGTTCGGAATTACGAAATATCCTTTCCACATCTATTGTTTAGCATCTTTTACTGTACATAATTTAATTGATAACCTTAACTTCCAAGCACCCCCATCTATGATGTTGCTCGCCAGGGTTATCAGGCTATTACTCCTCTGGCATTGTTTGCTCACAACGAAGAACGGAAAAAAGACATTTTGGCAGTCCAGCATCTTTATCCTTTTTTAGATAAATTCCTACAGATCGTATTCAAATGTTTGCTATTTAAGGACTTTGAAGCTAACTTGATAGATCCAGCTGCAGAGTCCTTGGTGGCTTTGATTTGTGCTAGAAGAGTGAGTATTGGTAATTCAAGATTAACTTGAATTTTTTCCGTATACTAGTAGTTTTAAAAAAAAACCATGAATTTTTCGCTTTTAGAATTCCTATAATTCTTTAGTATCATCAATAATTGCGCAACAAGCTCCGGATACACGAAATCATTTGCAGGAAGCATTCTATAATTTATCTATTAGCGTTACAGAAACGCTTCCGGAATCAGTACTACGACCTAGGGATGTATCCGGTTTTCGGGAGGTTTTATTCAGATTCTTGATGGATGTTCGCGGATTCTTGAGAATCAAATAAGGATTGGGATGTTTGTGACTATTTATTTCATACTGGATATACTCATCTTTGCAGTTTAGTTTTTACTACAAAATTAATTTCAATTTCAAATTTTACAGGTTCTTTTTATTTCTAAATATAAATCATATTGCCATTTCATGTTTATTTTTACGAGTGTCAGTTTGTATTATTATTTCCAACACCAATTTGATGCACAATTGTAAAATAAATATAATGTTAACCCACCCAAAGGTTGAAATCTATAGTGAAATTTATCAATATATATTTTTATATTATTGCTGTGAAAAATATATCACTTATTTATTCAATTTCTAAAAGAAATATAGTTTACATGTTTATGTCTGAAAAAAATATAATGTAGTCGTATTATAAATTATGAATATTAATAAATTGAATCATAAAAATATTAAATGTAAGTTATTATTAAAATTATACATATACAAAATCTCACTATGTATGCGGATGGAGCGTATGTGTGTAATTCGACCCTGCGAACAACATACTCTAATAGAAAAACGAAAGCTTTCCGTTAATAATTAATTAATAGATAGATAGATACTAAAAGGGAAGCTTTCATCATTAATATTGACATTGTTATTCTTATCGTTATTATTCCCTAATTAACGATTTCTGTGATATTGATCCAAAGTACTCTTGAATGGATCACCGCCTGTGTATCCAGCACGGCCGCCTAGTACAACTTCGCCTTCATCATCCCAATCACGTTTACTTTTACCGAATCTGAATATGAGGAGACCAACTCCGGCCAAAACAACAATACCACCAACTACTGAACCAGAGATAATTAATGTTTTTGAAGTGTTTCCACCACTAGATGATGATTTGGCACCAGCAGTAGATTGTGCACCGGCTCCTTTTGTTGCCTCTGGTGTTTCAAAAGTGCTTGTACTTGTGACCGTAACTATTTTCGGTGAATTGTTATTATCATCATCCGCTGAGCTTGGCGTTGGAGTCTGAGTACTTGTAACAGTTACGGGTTGTTGAGCTGATGATGATGAACTTGTGTCTTTTGATGGAGATGGAGGTGGAGGCGATTGTGAGGTTTGTGGTGGTGGTGGTGGTGGTGGTGGTGGTGATGATGGTGGTGGTGATGGTGGTGGTGGTGGCGGTGAGGTTGGTGTAGATGGTGGTGGTGGTGGTGGTGTCGATGTAGGTTTAGCTTGTGATAACACCGGAATCACAAGCTGTAGAATTATGAATATTGATGAGAGCACCAAAATTATATAGAATTTCTTTAGATATCTCATTATTCTTATTTTTGGTTTTTTAAATTCTAGATGCTTATGTGTAAATAGAATAAAAGATTGATATTAATATATTTGCTGATACCTATTTCGCTGATAAACTAATCCTGAATATATGCTATTAAAATTATTGATTAATTCTGAATATATGCTATGTCATTAACGTTCTTATTCAGATTAAATATGTAACTATGAATTATTATAACGACTAATCTGACCTATTCCATCTATTATTGTCTTTTTAACGGATTCAAGCCTTTTTTTAACAACTACTCCGCAGGAAAGGTAAAGAATTTTCGTACATACCTCTAGTAAGGAAAGTCTAGATTAAAACAAATTAATATCTCACCAATTAATATGTATATAACTTCGACGTCAAAGTATATCAAGTCTGGTTCAATACTACCCACTGAATGCTAATACTAATCTCGGGTTACTGTTACACACTTCCGAATATAGATAGCAGTAAATATTGTGGATGACACATGAATATATATTCGTAAAGTGAATTACCATTATTCGGCTGTTGGAACGTGTTTTCGTTTAATCTAAAGAAACATAGAATTTGTAGAACTTCCATTGTGCAAGATTATTTCGTGTAACTTTCCAGTTAGCTTTATAGTTTTACAAAGTAAATTGCAAAATCAATCATAAACCATAAATTTTACTGTATTAATGCGAAAAACAATTTCATTTTTAATTCATAGTTCGCACGAGCAATCTCAATTCTATGTATATAGTACTTTATTGTATATTTGTTAATCTTTAACGAACAAAATTTTTACAAATCACCTGTAATAACAACAACGACAACAACAATAGCAGCAGCAGCAACAACGACAATAATGATGGAATCTTCTTTACCACACAAAAACAATACCAATAAACATTTCTTAGCTAATAATAGGCCACAAAAACAAAAACTAATAGAGACTGAAACACTGCACTCAACACAAGAGCATTCTACTGCTTCGCCCTCCTCTAGCAGTTTTGCTCAAGTTACCCATGATAATAATATAACCTCTGATTTATCAGCTAGAGAAAGTATCGATGAGACAGAACCTCTATTATCATCATCAAACATTGTTAGTAGAGTTGTTGATAGTGATCTTGTGATTCCCCAAGAATCCGATCCTTTTCTTTTGGTCCATATGCGTCAAAAACGACGACCTCCTCCTCGCCCTAAATATGTGGTCTTCCTTTTACTTTTAGCTTTTATCGATTTTAGCATTATTAGTACCTGCATGATACTATTGATTCATAAAGGTCCTTGGGGTGAGAATGGGAAATGGCATTGGGATATTTTGGAATGGGATATATTGAGTTTAGGGATTTTGCGCATCTTTACTGTCATGTGTGTCAATTCGTCAATGTGGCTTAGGGAATTAGGTTGGATATTAGGAGGTGTCTGTGGGGTAAGATTGAATTGATTTATTTGCTATTTTTTTCTGTCTGGACGCTCATATTTATTTTACCTTTGTTATTTTGCATTTCAGGTTTCTTCAGCATATATTATATACAAATCGAACTTGATCTATCAACATAAGCGCGAGACACAAATTTATCATATAGCTTTATTAGCCGCTTCTGTTCTCTTCTGTTTGATTCATTTTATATCTTATGTCATAGTCACGGCCGATAAACGCCATCGTGCGGCACTTTTGAGAAATGATAGTATCGAATTTCAGGAGGAACCTTCTGATAATGATAATGTTGAGAATGGAAATAATATTGAAATAGATTAATTTAAATTGTCTTTCTTTCATCTTGAATTAAGAGAATAACAAGATATCGAAGCCATGCTGATTTATCATTATTTACTTATTATTATGCGCATATATATAATTTTTCGAGAAATTTCATTTTTTATCGTAATAAAAATGAAAATATTTCATTTTCAATGGACGAGTCTTTCTTTAGTAAAAGGCACGAGATATTTTAATTTCGCAAAATAAAGAAATGAATCACATCACAGGCAATATTGAAAGTATGAGTATATAAAGTAATCTAAAATAGCGTGATGTACAGCTTATAAGACTGGAAACAGATCAACTTTTCCCTTCCTTCCATATTCTTCTGAAATCAGCATTCGATTTTTTTACAGTTCCACTACTGGTTATGGTTTCAACATCCATACTATTTCCATGCTCATTCTCAACGGGATCAGTCGTTTCCTCTTTAGTTTCAGTTGAGGTAAAAGAAGGTGACGGTGTGAAAACTTTTTTAAGCGAAACCTTATTTCTCGATGTGCTTCTGGGAGGCATCAATGCAGTTCGAGGGACCAATTGCCTATGTTATTTATGGAATTGAAATATTAATAATAATTCATCATAATCATTATTATCCTGAAAATAAAAATAAACTTGGTGGTTACTTTGAGCTTGTTGGATATTGTTGCTTTACAGATATCATTCCTTTTACAGATATTCTAACACCGTGCCATTCATATTTGTCGAAACGTAAAATAGCTTTCCCAGCATCCTAAAATTACAAAATAAATTTTAAGGAAACATCTCAACAAAACATCGCAACAAAAAAAAATGGCATTCAATTTATTCAAATAAGATAATACCTCAACTCCGGCATATTCAATTTCTGCAGTGTGCTCCTTATTATCATAATTAATATCACGTATAGTGCCGCACTAGAAACATAAAGGAGGAGTCAATAAAAAGCAGACATGATTTATCGGTAATTATGAATAGTTGCCTCACCTTGGCGAAGAGCTCTTGCAAGTTTTCCTTAGTTATATTTTTCGGCAATTGTTTTACACTAATACCTCTATCCCGCTTCGTCGCAATGGATAGTTCTTTCCTATGAAAATCAATAATTATCATCCTTAGTTTCAATATGTAATGGCACATAAGAAGAAATAATTTTCAATAAGATTACCCTTTGGATTTTTTGCCTATGTTGGGATCAGCAACCACTACATGAAGACAGTTATTTTTAAAATCTACTTGATTCATAGCTTTCGCCGCGGCTTGAGCTTCTTCCTATTCAATATCACAAAACGATACATTATTCGTATATTCAACAATCTCAAAGTCGAGATTTCTATTAATCTTACTTGTTTCAGAAAATCAATAAATGCAGTTCCGGTACACTTGCCCTCTTCGTTCAAATTAATCCTAGCATTTTTTATTGTGCCATACTGGGAATAATAGGCAATTGATTATTGATTTTTAAATTTTACAGAGCTTGAAAGAATAATAATAAGTACTCACTGGTTGAAATAACGTTTTCAACTCATTTTGATCCACTTGACTAGGGAGATTGTGTATTATAATTTCATTTTTACTAGTTATTTGTAATAATAAGATATATTAATAAAACCGAAAAGCTAGATTTCGAAAAGAAAAAAAATAACACAAATAACTTACGCTGGGGGGGATCTTTGTTTCTTCCTATCGGGATCAGAAATATGAACTGAAAGGGTAAATCCAAACCATGGCTGTCCATCTTCAGCTAAAGCTGCACGCGCAGATTCCTGAATAGAAAATATAAAGAAATAAAATGTCAATAATAATAATAATTTGTAATTGATTGATATCCAAAAAATAAAGTTTTAAGAACTGACCTGTTTTTTGTATTCAATATAACAGAATCTTCTACGCTTAACACCCTTAACATTGGCACTTGGCATTCGAATATCAATTATTTCGCCATACTATATATACAGCAAATTAACGATTAATAATATGTTTTATTATAAATATCGTATAAGGATATGTTACCTTCTCGAATATATTCAGTAAATCTTGTTCGTTAGTAGATTCTGAAAAATTCGTGATATATAAAGTTTGTGCAATTGGTTGATACACGGATATTTCGTTATCTCCTATTTTCTTTTTATCTTTAGTTAAAGCACCAAGAACACTATCCTGCATTTTTTAAATAGAGATTATTAATTTTATTATTTGATTTACACACATTGTCCATGAATTAATTGCTTACATACCCTGTCGGAAAATTCAATATACGCAATACTTTCTCCTTTTTGAGCATCTGGTATGATGCGAACCTCATTTATTTTTCCGCACTAGGAAAAGTAAAGAGTATATTGTATTAAATGTTTTTATATATTGATTACTAATGAATATCAAAAGAAATAATAAAAACTCAATTACGTCATTAAAAAGAGTTTTTAGCTGTCCTTGTTTGACTTCCTCAGGCAAATTAACTACGGCGATAGTAGAATGTTCGCGATCACTATTCATTTAAATAAGTTGCGTGAGAAATGATTTATTCATCCAGAATTTGATCACATGTTTCTTAAATATTCCTCAATTACCGTCTGACCCTGGTGTATCTTCGTTTGTCTAAATAAATTTTTGGAAAACACGTAAATATGTGAAGTTCTCTTAATAAGGACATAAAATTATGATTTGCAACCTTTCACGAACGAAGACTCTTGCCCAATATCCATATCTTCTGTGCTCTTTTCTTTATTTCGCTTGGCAGGATGCAATTCTTCTAACGTTTCTTCTGGTTTCCTTTTTAAAGAATCACGTGATGTAATAGTCATATTTTCCATGTTTACAACTTCTGTAGGTACGTTTGGAAACTGCTGAATTTCTATAGCTTCATTTTGAAATTGCTGCAGTTCTGTAGCAACGTTTTGAGATTGCTGAATTGATTCCTAAATAAATAAAAAAATTTATTAATTATTTAAAATACGATAATTGCATCGAATATGAAAAACTAATATTGACTTTTTCCCGCCGCGTCATCACAATGGCTAATCGACTTTTTATGAAAAGAAGTGCGTTTTCGATACTATCAAAGTCCCCATAATGATGCTCGAAATTTTCCCAACTTTCAAAAATGACCTCGGGCCAATCAAATTTAACTTGACTTGCTCTTTTGAAAATATTCCGTGCTTCTTGAATATTATTAAGAGACCTATTAAAAAAATCAAAAAATTATATATAAAGAATCTTTTTGATGAATAGTTTCAAAATATTTATTAACCTACTTTTCCCATTCCGCATATCGAAGCCATATTTCCGGCTCGTGTTTGCGCTTGTTTATAACCTCTTCCCAAATCTTACGAGCTTCAGCGTAATTTTTTATTTGTGTCTAATGTGATTTTATGATTAGAGTAATCCTAGAAAATAGTCTCTTCCAAAAAAAATATATGTTTACCTCAAATTCTATATAATAGAATTCTAAGCGAGACCTGGGATCACCAACAGGAACAGCTAATATTCCAAATAATTTAGTTTAGTATTTTTTGTTTACGAGTTTATTTTATTATAAAAAAATTTACCTTGACTAACTTTTTCCAGCCCAAATTGCAAAGCAGCTCTAAGATCAATTGCATGTTCTTCATCGATTGTACCGCGTCTCCAATTGATTCTTGATCTTTCATAATCACAATAAGTCAACAAGACTTTTATCAAATCATCCAATCGATCCTTACTATTCAACATGCTTATATCCAATGCTCGAGATACAATATTCATGACGACATCACGGGGACTATTATTCTTAACGAGTATTCGGATGTAGCGACTCCATAGCATGCCTGACCAAGGACAATTTCGAACACTTCTTTCGGCTACTTCAACAGCCTGAGCAATTTTTTTGTATTTTAACAAGTATCCAATATAGTCGTCCCAGAAAGTCTCATCAATATAATGATATACGAGAGCTCTTTCGTATAGCATGATAACCAACCAATGGGCTATTTGTTTGTATTTTTTGTCTTCAGGATCTTTAGATTTTTCAATGTTTGATCTTTCATTTTCTTCATAATTAATATATTTTCGAAATTCAACTAAAGAGTAATTAGAATTCACCTAAGAGGATAAAGTGTAATATAAATACCCTTTTGTAAATAAGAAACTCATCAATGAGAAAATAATCTACCAAAGAATCCTCATAAGTTTCTTTTTTTCTGTATCGTTGCGAAGTTTTTGAGTAGATTTTATTCGCTTCTACCATAATAGACTCATAGTCACCCGAGAAATTTTTTGAGATAAACTGTGAATAGTCTTGCCATGTCTGTTCCAAATCTATATTATGTATCGAATTCATCAACTTTTGTATGATTAGATTGAGGAATTAATTGCTAGAAGAGTAAAAAACTTACTTTTATGTGGAACGCTGAGTCTATCGAGATATAGATCACGAACATTGAGCTTCTGTTCTTCGTGATTGCTGGAAAACGGAATTGAATAATAACCAACATTATGTTATAAATTTGTCTCCAATTTTCTCAAAATCGAAGCTGAATTTTAGATTGGTAAATGCAAACCTTTGCGAGCTCTTAAAAAAGGAAAAAAAAAACTAATTATTCGTCTTATAATTTAGAACTTTGCTTTAGAAACTCAATGACGTATAGCTAACCTGCATAATTTCTGTTTCGAAATTTAAATACGTATTCCAGATAATATAACTCTGGAGTATAAAAAAGTGATTTAAGTCACCAATAGTTAAAAAGCTTATGCACAAAGAGAAATTGAGAGAAGACAATACCTCTGGTATATTACACCCAGCTTTCTTGTTTGCTTCTCGCAAGACATTCCGCACTTCTTCAAGAGTAACAACTTGAAAATTGTCATCATCTTCAAGCGAGCTCTTATATTGGTCAATGACGTATTGAATATATTCATTCCAAAGTTTTATTGCTAATTAGGGTGATAATGTTTTTCATCAATTAATGAATTCAAATGAGTATGATCAAAACAGTAATCAATACCTACAAAAGTAATCTTTGAATGACTCAGAGTATAAATTGATGACTCTCTTAATTTGATCAGGAGTTGATGCTATTCTCTTCTCATCTTCGATCCATTGAACCCACAATTCTAATAAATTGTAAATATGTTAGGTTCAAGTTAGAAAAAGATCAATAGACATTCTCTAAATTATACATACCTTCTGACAAAGGTAATATATTGTGCATATTTTCCCTAGCGCTTGTCAATTCTTCATATAAAGAAGCATGTCGAAGTGCTTCAATGTACTGAACTTGAACACTATAGTCATAAGCGTTTTTTGAGACCTGAAAAATTTTTGATCATTTAAATTTTAGCAGTTTAAGTAGAAAAGACATTATTGCATATAGGCCAACCTCATTTTTTAGCTGTTTAATGTTAGCCTCATTTTCTGGAGAATCACCGTAGTCAGTATATGAAAGTTCGCTAGGTGAATCGAAAGAATCTTCTTTCGACTGAATATCTGTTGAACTGTAACCATCCATTACTAATAAATAATAGAGGAAGGACAATATGAAATTCAAATATTTTTTGATTTTCGCCTCCAACCAATCAACCAGCTATCGGTAATAACCTTATCGTTATCATGAAACCGGTTAAAATTTGATTGGATCACCTAACACTAATTTAGACTCAGCTTCATAAATTAATAATATAGGTGGGGTCAATATTACTTGGGTTTTTCTGTTTTCTAGCAATTTTGGTTAATATCTTATTTTAAAGAAATGGCACGAGCCGATTCAGGGTATATAAGTCAACGTGATTCTATGCACAGTAGTAGGTCGTCACAAACTCTTTTCGAGAGAGTGGACGCCAATAGTCTCATTAATAACAACAATAATAATAGTAATCTTAGAACGAGATTTTCTTCCTACTCCGACTCGAGTGCACTGGATGATTATAGTTCTTATCCGGAGATCCCAGCTACTCCGTTATACCACCCTCCTCCTTTTCTTCAGTCTTCTGTTGATTTACAGCAGGGACAATATCCTACATCTCGAAACAGTTCCCGAAGAAGCTCTAATTCACAGAATGACCCCTCCTCTCTATCAATATCACCAGGATTGCAGCCATACTCGTCTTATTCATTTTCACAGTCCTCTCATTTAGATCCTAACCAAATATTATCAACGACTCCGAGTTCAACACCGTCTCACTCACCTTCACCCTCGATTTCACATAATTATTATCATACGAGAAATTATTCCTCGACAGATCGTCTAACCACTTCAGAATCCTATTACCTGAACAATAATAGTAGTAATCCAATAATTAGTTCTAATCGATCTTCTATATCTTCATCGCTGACCAGAACAGAACAGCAATCAAGAGGAGAAGAAAAAGGGAATTTACATCATTCAAAATCAGGTTCACCGTCTCATCATTCATCACGCTCTGGAAGTGTCGAAGATGCTACTTTTGATTTTAATGCTGCTTATGATGTAATTGATGAACTTTTTGATACTTATCTTGATGACGATAGTAGCATTCATTCACCGATAGAACAAAATATTCCTAATAATTTTGATGATTCTCATAGAGAATTAGACATAATACAATGCAAATTAGAACAAGAATCAGAAAATCAACAAATGGATGAAGAATCTTCGAAATATTCGAGACCACGTTCTCAAAATCGTCAACGCAGAATTGATGGACGATTCTCACAACCTCCTAATTTTTCACATTTCCAAGAAGCTTCAAATGAGTCACTTGACCTAGTTTCATCCACGACAGAAAAGTCTCCTGAACAAATAGGTAAAAAATTATTTAATATTTATTTTCAGATCATATATTTGATATATTATAACAATTCGATTATAATATTTTAGCATTAGAAGCTGCTGCTGCGAGAAACAGGAAACGTGAGGCTGCTGTCAAAGAAATTATTACAACTGAACGAACCTATGTAGATAGCCTTAGAAAATTAGTCAATTATTTCCTTGTCCCTTTAAAGGAAAATTATCAGAAATCCATATCTAAAAATATGATCCTTTCGACTAAACCAATGGCAACCATGGAAGATATTTCAGCTTTGTTTGGCAATGTCGAACAAATACTTTCTCTGCATGAACAGCTACTCAAGCAACTAGAAGAGAGGTGAGAGTATAATTTCAATCAACAATTGTTTAAAATATTTTAATTAACTTGAGCTGAAATCAATACAATTCTAATCTAACAAGATATGCTAATTGGAGCCCTATAGAGCTTATTAGCGGTATTTTTTTACAAATTGTAAGTGATCTCGCTTTGAATGTATAGTCAATACAAGTTTCAAAATATACGATATCAATTAATTGTTGAATATAATATTTGTGAGCTCAGGCACCATACTTAAAAATGTACACCACGTATTTAAAGAGCTTCCCACAAGCAATAGCAACAATGGAGCGACTGAAAAAAGAAAGTCAGTCGTTCAAGAAATTTTTAATAGTATGTCTTTTCTTTATTATTATTTTTTTTTCATTTTTTTTTGAGATAATAATATTCATTTTGTAATATCAATTTTAGCATTGTTCAGATAAACCAGCACTCAACGGCCTGCAAATGAATTCATTCTTAATTATGCCAATTCAACGTATCCCACGATATAAGCTTCTATTAGAAGCGCTATTAAAATACACACATGAATCTCATCCCGACTATGCCTCTTTGACAAAATGTGTTCAACAGATAACAGTCATTGCGGATGACGTGAATGAAAAGTAAAGATAAGATTTAATTTAATTTAATTCAATTCAATTCATTTTAATTTATCAAATCCATTTCTTAGGATAAGAGATGCTGAGAATCAACAAAAGGTTATTGAAATTCAGGGACAAGTTGAAGGACTGCCATCCGCAATTGTGAAACCGGCACGTCGCTTCATTTTCCGAGGGGATTTATACAAAGTATTGCCTCGGCCCCAAAAAATCAAATTACGTCATTCATATACAAGTACAGAAGACGCACGGACACATTTCCTTTTTAATGATTTACTCATATTTTGCTTGGATCTAAAAGTAAAATATATATATAAAGGTCAAATTGATTTGGCTTTTGCTACACTAAAGGATATTAAGGATGGCCAAGCAGATAAACCATTCTGTTTTCAGATAAGCACTCAGACGCAAGATGGAGCTAAAGCAAATCATACAGTTCGAGCCAAGAGTGAACAAGAAAAAAGTGAATGGATGACAAGGATTTCCGATGCAATTTCTGCATTGCAGAATGGAATTAGAATGTCGTATAATAACGTGGGTGGACAACGTATGTTTTCATTTTTTTATCTTTTTATCTGCTGGTATTTTATTTCTAAATATTATATTCATAAAAAATATATAAATATAAAAAAGATTTGAGACCTATTCCTCAATTAAATTTTTCGGTCTCTGGATCCAAACGACAAACACAGCCTCACCCACACCGTTCCGTTGTAGATCCGCTTTTCTATTCACCAAAAGTACCTTCAGATAAATCCGCTAAATCGAAAAAAGAAAAGGACAAAAACAACCGTAATTCCGCTCCAACAGTATCAGCAGACAAAAAAAATCGAGAAACATTGTCATTTGATGAGATACAGGAAATGGAGTTCGCCTTTGTATAATACGGTTATTTTATGCATAGTCGCCAAAATATCAATATTGATATTTGAGAATACATACTGCTGGCGAATCAAAAAACAATTCTGGAGTGTTTAATTTGCTACTCCTGTAGCTATTGACACTCAATCATCATCATCATCATCATATGATGGAACCGAACATTCCGGATAGAGACTTATTCATTATAATCCTTAATTATAATTTATCATGTATATTAAGCAATATTTAATTATTTTAATTAATACCCTAATTAGGAGTTTTTAATTAATACCCTATTTACGAGTTTCAAATCTACAAATTATGGTAGAATCAAGTTATTTATCACATATTTATGTTATTATGCATCCTACCTGTAGATCAACGAATAAATGCTAGATCCTGCATTAATTATATTTCACTTTATATTCCGTTTGAATTTAAAAATTGATAACACGGATTCTCGAGTTCAATGCTTATTTCCTCGGAACCTTGTCCGCATATCCAACTTTATTGAAAACATGTATTAGATAGAAATCATGTAATTGGTGATAGTTTTTACAAATAGCAACCTGAGATCTTTTGCATTCAAATAAGCTCCTCCTAATTGCTTGGCATTCTCTTATTGAATCAGCATGTTCTCGTTGTAAGCATTCTTTTGGGGTGTGACGCTCTTTTACGACACAATCAGAAGCTAATAAACATTCAACAAGGGCGTTTCGAATCTACAAAAAAATCATTTAGTAACAATTTATTTATATAATTATAAGTACTTTTAAACTACTAAAAAAATTTCCTTGACGAACTTCTTTGCAAGAAGAAGGCATGCTGTTATATTCGCTTGGCGTAAAGTATTGGTTCTCTTAAAAGTGACACCACCATTCATGATCTATTGCACGTGATGTAGAATTTCAAAATGATAAATATGCTCGCGCGTTTTTGTTGACTATTTATTTAATACTCGCATACTGCTCACTTTTACTTTATTCAAAAACTTTAAACACTGTATTAATACTCTCTATACCTTTTCTCTTAACACCATACAAAAAGAAGGATCGATCGAAACTCTGCACAACTCGGCATAATGGTATTTTTTAACTTTACTGCGTCATTAGTTCCCAAACCTCTTGCATAAACTTTGCTTGGCAATATCTAGGAACTGCTTTTTGGACGAAAGAAAACTCCAGCAGAAATGCTTCGGCAACATCAACGCGCGCTACAGAAAGCGCAGCGTGAGCTGGACCGTGAGCGTGTCAAACTTGAACAACAAGAAAAGAAGCTTATTATGGATATAAAGAAATCGGCCAAAGCAAACCAGATGGTAATGTACAATATCTCCTTTTTATTGTTTAATTAACGCAAATTAATGTTTTAATCTGCAGCTGTGATTTCTCTAAAATTTCTGTAATTTTATTACAAATTTATTGGTACAACAAATTTATGTCTAGTAGAATGCATGCAAAATTATGGCCAAAGATTTGGTTCGAACGCGTCGTTATTCATCCAAATTCCAAGCAATGAAAACACAACTTCAGGCAGTTTCTTTGCGTATTCAAGTAATTTTATATTTCGATTTTTCTATTCCGATCAAAATTATTTTTCAACTTCTATAATTAGACAAATATTTACTGACAATTAGACTCTAAGATCAAATCAGCAAATGGCTGAGGCAATGAAAGGTGCAACTAAGGTATATTTTATATATTCGTTCTGTATTTTAAATTGATTTTTCTCTTGTCTGATCTTTTTTTTTGCGCTCCCAAAGGCTATGAAATCAATGAATCGTCAAATGAATTTACCCGCAATTCAGAAAATTATGATGGAATTCGAAAAAGAATCAGAACTGATGGATATGAAAGAGGATATGATGAATGATGTAATTGATGATACTATGGAGGATGAAGAAGACGAGGAAGAAAGTGATATGATTGTGAATCAGGTGCTGGATGAAATTGGCATTACCTTAGACCAATCGGTATGTATCTTCGTGCGCTCGCATTCGATTGTTTGAAAATCCGATAATAAAATGCAAAATTAATATTTTTTTAGCTTGTCGATGCACCAAATAATATCGAGAGAGTTTCAACGAATGAAAGAATCGCCCAGCCGGCTGATATGGAGCCTAATAATGATGCGGCCTTGCAGGCGAGGCTTGATAACTTGCGAAGAGAATAATAACATTATTAGTAGTAGTATAGGGCATCTATAGAATTAATTAGTCTTGGAGGTAATCTTGGTTGGCTTCTTTATTTTGTTTTACCTTTTTTTTTAGTATCTTTACTTATTTTGATAAACCTTTATTTTTAGTGGGAATAATTTCATTAAGAAAAGTTATATTTACCGGTGAAAGAATTTTACTATACAGAATCACTCATAATGCATTTATATCTACAAACATTATTTTTTTATTTGGTTTTTTTTATTTGGTATAAATAATCCATAGAAAGAGTTTGCTCGATATGACTAATATGAAAACTCGTCATAGACATATATCTTATTTGCTGTAACACTATCGTACTATCGATTTCTGCTAATATTTATATTAAATAAATAATAAATAGTTTAATATTTATTTATGATCACACCACGTTTAAAGTTTGTGCCGCATAAATAATTTCATTATCGTGTATGAAAATTATCACCAAAACTGTCTTCAATCAGAATCATCAATTATTCGCTTTAAACAAAATTCATCAGCAGTTTTTATCAACAAAAAAAAACCAGAGCCTCTTCCAAGATCCATGTAATATTCACGACAGAATTTTAATCATTACACTTTTTAGATTTGAATAAGATAAAAAAATTTCTGATTCTGTCCGTCTATTTTATTTCTTGTTTTTATTGAATTTCATACTAAGCGCCCGTTTTGATATATCTCGCAATCCTCTAAATTTTTTTCCTCGTATTTTTGAGATACATTTTTGCGCTGAAGATTTTATATAAGAAAAAATAAAAATATATTTCGTGTCCACCACAATTTTTCTTTAAATGTATATTCGCAAAATAAATTCTCTAAATGATTTTTGATATTTGTTTGATTCTCAACACATTGTAAGTGGTTAATTATTTACAGAATATCACCACCTGACCTGCATAAATAGAAAAATAAATATTGACAACAGAGAATTCAATCAAAAAAAAACCTCAAGTTTTTTTTCAACATACCCATTTATATTTTATTCTTCCCGCTGCACTATACACGCATTGGCCAATTTCCGCTGAAATTTTATAGGCAAGGCAAAGCTAGGCAACTTTGCTTGCTGGGATTCACGATTAGAATTAGAATTCAGTCTTGATGTCGCCGATGGTTCTCTGGGTGAGCTTGGAGTCAACCTTGATGATGGTACTGGATCACGACTAGATGATGTGTTGCCTTTAGTTCCATTTGTAATAAATGATGGAGATGGTAATGGAGTCTTTGCAGAAAAATCAGAACCAGGCGGTGGTAAATTAAACTTCGTTATCGTGGTTCTTGTATTTGCAGTTCGAGTAGGGGTTAATGAACGAGGTGGCGACGCAAGAAAATTTTCCTCTGCTGATAATTCATCTTCATAATCAATATCCATTTTATAATAGCTATAATTGTTCCCATTCCCAGATTTCCCGTTTATTTTATGATTAGGAGTTGATGAAAATTGTAATTTCAGTTCGTCTGCAGATGAAAGTTTAAATTTTTCAATTCCATTAATGTGATTGTGATGATGAAGATGGCCGTTGCCATAACTTTTTCCGTTAATAGCATTATTTGATTTTGAATTACTATAATTAATGTCCAAACCCGGAGACTTTGGTGAAATTGGAGATTCCAAATCATCGGTATACATTGGAGAAGAGTGCGTGATTGATTCAGTGTCATCTTCATATGGAATTCCCCGTTCAGTGTAAATTCGCCTTAAAATATTTCTTACTTCCTCATTTTTAGCCAAATTGAAAGGAGTCTTCCCTTGTTCATTGATTGCGTCGGGATCAGCTCCATTTTGAATTAACAGCTCCACGATTAGAGCATGACCTTTACGAGCAGCTTCATGAAGTGGTGTATTTTTATTTATTTTATCTTTTGCATTTGGATTTCCTTGAAAAGCCAAAAGAACAGTTATAGCATCCAAATGACCTTCAAATGCCGCATCATGAAGTGGAGTCCGCCCTTCGAAATCAGCAGCGTTTGGATTCGCATAAGTTTCTAATAATAAACTGATTTCTTGAACACGTCCTTTTTTTGCATGATTGTGAAGATGTGTTCGACCAGTTTCTTTATCTTTGAATCGAGGCTCTAAACGAAGAGCATCATTTGGAACGGATGCACGTTGATTCCGTGTAGAAGAACGCACTTTTGGTATATCATCGCGGGAACTTTTTGCTCTCGTGGGCTTTTTTGTGATAGGTGAATTCGGTTCATTTGTTTGTAGTAAATCAAATGCTATGGCCAAACTTGGAGTGATTGGAGGCTGCGTATTTTTTATTTTTGGACTTTTAGGGCAATTCACTGGTGTATGTAGTAAAATTAATATTTCCTTTATTGAAGTAAGTTCATCCGGTTTCTTATTTTTGTCATTCCTCTTCTCTATATCTGCACCATATTCTAATAATAATTTTACCACTTTTGAGTGTTCCTGATAACAAGCATCGTGAAGAGGAGTGTCCCCTTCTTGATCCACAGCATTGACTCGTGCACCATTCTCTAGTAAATAATCTACTATTTCTATATGTCCTGCATACGCTGCCTCGTGTAGTGGAGTCCAATCACTATTATCCTGAGCATTGATGTCTGCCCCTCTGTCAATTAAATCTTTAACGGCCTCTAAATTATTCTGTTGACATGCAATATGCAAATTAGTTTGACCAGCTCTATCGGTGGCCATCACATCGCGAGGATCTAAACTCTTCCGTCTAGCACGACCTACTTTAGAAGGAATTTTTATTGGAGCAGGTTTCGGTTTTGGTATTCGTCCACGATGTCCACGAGTAGCTTTATTGATATGTTCTATTGTTAAACTTTGATCTTTTTTCGGCCTTCCTCGTCCTCTTTTAATTGCTGGCGGTGGTTGTTGTTGATGATGATTTATAACAGTATTATTATTAAGCTTTAGACTGTTTCTAATTGTTGAATTTAGCGTTGATCTTGGTTTTTTTGGTTGTTCATAATCTGTGTCAGATGAGTCACTTGGAGGCTCAGATAATCCTGAACTTGAGGAACTATCAAATCCATCTTCTGATCGCCCTCCTCGTTTTCTTTTGTTATTGTTATCACAATATGCGGATCCATCTGAAGAATCACCTCGAATAGTATCAGCGTCAGTATCATCAGACACTAAATCGTTTAATCTCATTTTTAACTATTATTATTGTTATTATTATTATTATATTATTTTTACTACTATTATTATTATCTCTCAATTTTTGGTCTAAAAATAAATAAGCAATAAAAAAATTAAGAAAGGTCAGTAAAAGCCTATTGGTATTCCAGAGAAATGAAATGATATTTATTTTAGAGTCAAAAGTAAAAAAAAGGTTGAAAAAATATTTTCTAAATGAGAAATAAAAAATTTTACGTGAAAATAACGATAAAGGTCAAGGAATTTTTATTTCAAATTTCTATAACAACTATTTCCTTTCTTTCGGTAAAAATAATTGAATATTCATATTTCCACAGAAATATAACAAAGGAAAATAAAAACGAGTGGGATGGCAATCCTAAGAAAATTACAACTATTCCCCCTCATCCTAAAATAAATAACAAAAGATACTGGGAAAGAGAAAAATAATCGTAATAACCACCAATAAAAATAATAACCCCAATAATAAAAACAAACATTTAATGGAATAATGAAAACAATAATGAAAATTTGCTTACCACTTTGTTTTTCAACTTATTCAAAGAACAAAAAACGGACAGCCAAAAGTAATTTTCCAAAAATAAAGGTGTAGAGTTGAGAAAAAGTAGGACAACACACCGATAAAAGTATCAGCTAAAATAAAAATTGCCCTTATGTGATATGTGTTGTGTGTTGTTTGTATTCATGTGATATATATTATTCATCATTTTTTGGGGGATATCTAAAAAATCTAAAAAGGAGTACAGAGAAATACATATCGATATATGCAGAGAGTATGTTGTGTCTTTGTGTTATATTTATTTGTATTACTAACGAATAATAGGAATAGTGTGCGAAAAATGAATGATATCCTGAATTGGTTCTAACTAAAATTTCATCGGAAATTTCCGGCCACAAAATTCATTGCATTACGCAATAAAGGCGTAGATTAGCATACACAATGAAATAATAAATAAACTATAAAAAAAACAATATCATAATTATTTTTATTATTTGAAGAGTCCAGTTTTACTGATGAAAAAATTCTGGGACCAAATGTTATCTTATTAGCCTACGAAATAATTCCGTGATAGAATTCCATGATAGAAAAACTGTTATTTATATTAGTAGTCCAAATTCTTCATTATCAATGAAATTCGCCAGATAAATAGACTGGAAATTTTCGTTTTTTGTTGCTTTGAATAACGATGCATTTGAAAGAAAAGATGTATGGTTGGAACAACGATTACTGATTACGTATATGCAAATACATAATTGTCGGAGATCTAGAACAAAATTGTAATAGGCCCGATTTAATACTAGAGCAAATCAAGATGACAGAGATCTCTGATCTAGACTAAATTGAATCGTCAAAAGAAATTAACTCTCTTAGCATAATGGTGGAGTTTTTGGCGTACTGTTTCCGAAATCATATTTTCCTGACAAGATAGATCAGGTGTTTCACGCATGCATGCCTGCATTGAAGAATTACATGTAATTCCAGAACCCGCATCGTAATATATTCTGCGACTTCAACGAATTATATTAAATTTACTGCAAGTTATATATTACTCTGCGACCCGAATTGAATTGTCAAATCAATTTTCTGCATCAACATGTCGTCGTATGTGCATTCGAAATATGTCCATTACTATGCTTCAAATCACAGCGTAAACATTATGCTTGGAGATCCATACTCTTATTCGTGGACGGATCGGCTTTCAATGAATTCAGAAATTAGAATTCCATTTGGTTGTGAATTCTTCAAGTCCATCCATATGTTGAGCTTTTCGGCTGCGAAATAATCAAAGTCCGATGGAATATATTAAATTACTATGTCGATTTAAGTAATGAAATAAGAAAATAAATAAAGAATAAATAAATATAATATCGCATTTGATGAAAATCATCAAAAATATAAATTAAATACTTTTATTTATTTTTAATTTATATCAGAATTAATAGTAATAATAGAATTGTTTTATAGATTGCAATATGTGTATGTATTTATATAGTGTATATATATATATGTATAAACAAATAAAAAGTAAACGGAATTACTGTAAAACTGTATAAACAAAAAGTTAATGTTAATAAAATAAAATAAAATAAAGGGGATGAATGAGGCATAGTATTTCGGTTTTGGAGAAGAATAAGGAAGAAAAACACAGTTTAAAATCCAGAAAATCGTCCCAGTAATAAAGTTAAGTATGAAAATATGTACGTATATAAAGAATATAAATATTCTAAAACCCAAAGAGAAGAATAAACAATGTCTAATAAGAAATCCACGAGATCCAAATCATTAGCACAAAAGAAAATTACAATAAGATTTTTAACAAAAATAACAAATGATACTCTAATAATCGTCATATCCATTATAACCATTTCTATCTCCATAAACCTCACGCCCACGACGATCATTATAATATTGTCCTTCATAACCTGGTTTACCACCCCTTATATTAGCCGGAGTATTATATCCCCGTATTGGCGGTGCTGGACCACCATATCCTCTCTCTGGAGGAAAGTCTCGAACTCGATCCTGTGGAGGCGGTGGCGGAAATTCTCTTCCTCTTTCTTGAGGAAGGAATGCTAATTTATCTTGTATTGGATAGTTACCGCGTTCTCGAGGCGGATATCCTCGATTCATTCCTGATGGTGGTGTGGGAGCTGGAGCATCACCATAACGCATTGGAGATGGTGATCGAATTCGAGAACTCATATTAGCGAGGAATGGTTGGTTAGTTTGACCATTAGTTTGTATGGGTGCTCGTTTATTTTGATCATATCTATAACCGGCCATTTCAATCAATGGTACTTTCTTTGAACCCATCGATAATTCAGGTGGTGGCTGTTCTATTAACGGTAAACTTCGAGGGGCTGCGAATCTTCCACGTGGTGCTTCATATGGAGGTTCTTCACGATAAGTTGGGTAAGGAGCACTTCTTGGATCATAAGGAGCTGGAGGCTCATCTCGATGTCTTGCATTTGGATCATCCCGATATCCACCAGGTGGTGGTGGCGGAAATCTTCCTCCTACAGGGAATTCTTCAGGTTCACCTGCATATCTCACAACAGGTTCTTCTCTGCCGGGTGGATATCTACCGGGTGGTGGCAATAAATCATCTCGACTACCGGGAGGATATCTTCCATTCGGTAAATCATCACGACCGAGAGGATATCGATTCATTGGTTCCTCACGATATCCATTTGGACCGTATCTTGGGGGAGGACCTGTACGTGAGTCATGTGAGTCTGGTCGAAAACCACCATTTATTCCTCCACCATAATAATCTTGGCGCATGAGAGGTGGTATGTTCCCACCTTGAGAACGTAATTGTCCATTATTTGGCAAGTTGATAGGCTCATTATCACTATCTCTATCGGATCCTTCATCTGAGCCTGATTCAGATACAGAAGATGCAATTTGATGTTTCCCTGTTCTTTTTCTTTCCTTTTGAGATTTGAATCTGTTATTGCTGTTGGTTCCTGTTGGAGAAGCTAATGGTGAATCGTCATCAGATTCCTGATCAGAAGATCGACGCGAAGAATTATTTCGTTCATTGTCCATTATTTCACGTCTTGAAGATGTTCCGTTATTCTGCTTATGTACATGACCTAAAGGTTTACGATCTTCTTCGTCAAAAGATTCTCGGAAAGTGTGTTCATTGTCACGTAACTCTTCTTGTTGATGATGATAATCGTGTGGATATTGTTGCCTCTGTTGTTGTTGTTGTTGTTGTTGATGTTTGAGTTGTGGTTTCTGCTGTTGGTATTGAACCGATCTTTCATTATCAAGATAATCATCATTTTCAGAAATCGAAGAGCGACGAGAATGTGATGGTCCATTTTCTGAACCATTTTTTGCTCGACGGTCATGACGAAATTCTTGTCTTAATGGCGATTCATTACCTACTGCAGAGCCATGTCCAACAGGTCCTGATGAGAACGAAGACTGTCGAGAATGAGTGCTATTCGATTTAGTAGTTGGTTTTGATGAAGATTCGTCGCGATATTTTTCTTTTGTGGAGGATCCGCCATTTTTCGAGGAAAATGATGTTTTATGAGAAAGAGCTGTACGAATTAAATGCTCATTTTTTATTGTTTTATTATTATGTTGAGATCCATCTTTGGATGATGTGGCTGAACTTGCTGACGATGAAGAATGACTACTTGAAGGAGTACGGTATTTACGACCTAAAGGAACTTCATCACCATTTAAAGAGCGCCCGCCGGATGAGCCATTTTGTTTTCTTGAGCCATGCATATTGTCATTATTAGGTGCTATCGGTCGGCCAGAATTAGTAGATTCACGTCTTCCAAGATATCCTTCTGGATGTTTGTGCCGGGTTGGAGGCGCATTTGGACCTCTGCCACGACTATCATCTTGAATGAATCGATCATCATGAGGAGGTCGATCTCTCTCATCAATATATTGACCTCTAGGTCCAGCCTGACGAGGCCCATATCGATAGTCTTCTCGATAATCCGGTACAAGACCATTATTACGTGGATCTCGAGGATCCCTAGGTGGAACTCTGTAATCGTCTCTATCCTCAACAAAACCACCAGGTCCTAAAATTCTTGGATCTCGTGCACCAGGTGGCGGTAATGGGTGCCTATAATCATCACGATAATCATCGCGATCTCTTGGACCATCATATCTATCATGTCGATCGTAGCCCCATTCATCCCTATAATATCTATCATCCTCAGGAGGAACATAAGATTGTAATGAAGGGGTAGCGGAAGGAGTTACAAGTGCACGCGCTTCAACACGATGTCGATCCTTCATTCGATCCAACACGTTATTTTCACCGTCAGTTGGATTAACAGCAGCAACCCAATTTTCCACAAGAGAAATTTTTTGTGTGACTTCTTTACGACGAGCTATGATTGCTTCTACTAAAGGATCACTGTCACGCTTCTGGTGACCAGGTCTTTTTTTGTTACTTGCTTCGTCATCTGAATCTTCATCGTCTGAACTAGATTCCTCTGTTTCTTCATCACTATCAACCGGTTTTTTCTTTTTACCGGATTTTCGTTTTGATTTACTTTTTCGGGTACTTGATTTATTATTCTTTTTCTTTTTTTTACGCGAGTCTTCTTCGCTGCTACTACTTGAAGTCTCTGTTTCTTCGTCACTATCCAATGGCTTTTGTAATGTTTTATTTTTTGCGGTTTCCGCGCTATTATTATTATTATTATTATTATTGTTGTTGTTAAAAAATTGTTGATAATTCGAAAGATTATTAGGTAATCCTGATGAAAAAGAATTATTATTATTATTATTTGTCGCTGTTGTCGGTATATTAAATCGATTATATAAATTTTGAGGAGCGGTAGTGTTATTAGTAGCAAAACTACCATTCGGATTGTTAGTGGAAGATGAAGAATTGTAATATGAAGTATTTGATGGTGTGGATGTTGTTGTCGGATCACTGGAGAATTCGAGTCTCCTCGATAATTCCATGGCAAGACTAAAATCTGGATCAAGAACACTTGATGTACCTTATATTTTTTTGATTTTTGATGGAAATCATTTTAGAATGGCAAAGATATTATTAGCATAAGTAACAATAATCAAACGAATAAAAGGTAAATAAGTTTTTGATGGGCGTATCACAAAAACAATAATAATTAATTAAATTCTACCTTGATTGATATTGCTAGTCGAATTCAAAGTACTAAGTATTTCATCCATTAATCCGTTTCCATTGTTATTATTCTTTTGGATATTATTATTGTAATTATTTCCATTGCCATTTGTATTATTATAATTATTATAATTATTATAATTGTTGCTATCGGATCTAGTATTTGCGATAGGTGGTAAATCTAGTTTTGGAAGTTCCAAAGGCAGAGCAGTTGTTGGCGAGGTCGGAGCAGAAGTGTCATTTTGTGTTCCGCCTCCTTTTTTGGGTTTTCCAAATCGAAGATTGACTTTTACCATTGCTTTTTTTGGGGGGTTTTTTCTCGTGCTGGGTTAATATTTTTTATTGAGTGTGGTCTTTGGTAAACGGTAAACTCTATTCGATTATGATAAGAAATATTATTTAGATAACAGAGAAGAAAAGTGTTCGTTGTTGCTTTATGGTATGTATGTATGTATGTATAATATGTATGAGTATGTGTATGTGAAGAGATTATTATTTACAAGTATTACTTTTTATTTAGATTAATTAATATTAAATGTTATTGTTTATATGTGTATGTATGAGAATAATAAGTCGTGTTATGTTGTTTTGTTGGTGTAAATAAGGTTATTATGAAGACAGAAAGATAATAGTAGGTTTCGGCTATTACGTTCGTTTTTCGTCGTTGTGTCGTCTACGACATACAAGAATATTATATAATAGCTTAAATCTTTCTATCGTATCCTTGCCAAAGTCTAAAAAAAAAAAACAAGAAGGAAAAAGAAAATAGGAAGTGTTTGGGGGAAGAGGGGTATTTATTTTTTTCTGCTATCGATATTATTAATGATGCAATGCTGCTGATGATGATGTTGATATGACAGTGGTTAAAGAGCGAAAAAAACTGCCAATTAATTAAATCTTGACCGAACAACTAACCAACCATCAAGAAGAAACAAACTTTTGATAATTAAATTTTGATTTGATGTTCAATTTTGTAACTGTGAAATGTTACAGGAAAAACAACAAAGTTTCAGGGTTCAATAACAAATTGATTTACGTTATTTTATACAAGTTGAATAGAATATCTGCGTGGATTTGAGTGTGTAACAAAATGGAGATTATTATGGGTGCAAAGTGAAATAATGACTAATGTCTTCTTTTTTTGAAAAATTTTAAATTTAAAAATAGATTTTGACAACAACATAAATAATATATTAATGGTCCTGATCATCATAGCGTGTGTACACACCATAAATTTATTATAAAAACGATTTAGATCTGATTCCTTATCGTTATTCTTTATTATTCATATCTAGTGGTATATAGAAATTGGTTGTGCGTGCATTGTGTTTCAACCTCTATATATAAAAGGCATTCAATAAAACATTGAGTCGCAGGTCAATTAGAATTGAATTAGAGTGGATTTTGACGTATCAGATTGTCGCACATTATTTTCACTTCCAAGAGACTGTTTGACTTCGAATTGCGTAACGTTACATGAATATATATCTCGATATTATTTTTTTTTAATTTCTCAAATTTCCAAAATAATGACGATTGACAATCCGAATAAGTTACTTTTCCTCTCTTTATTGTGATCATTATCGTTATCCTAAAAATAACTTGTTTGCATACCTTTACATGTGTGTGAAAAGATGCGATAAACGCAAACACCGATAACCTTAATAAGAATTAATTTAGCGTATTTTTCTTGTTTCTGCTGCTGAACGAAAAAACAAAACCCTTTTATCATCTGTATTTCATCGAATTTTCGAAGCAAAAATTTAATAAAATAAATTAGTAATTTACTACCATACGACACATTATTGATTCGTCAATTTTGATAGAGGACAACAATAGTCGAAAGATCTTGATTTTCAACCATTGTAACCTGTTCCATTTCGTAACAGGCAACAAATATAGTACAAAACACAACCCATGCAAAATAAGAGCAAACCAAAGATACCGATTTTTATGTATATGTATATATATATATATATATATACATAAAATAAATAATGATTCATTTTCTAGTTTCGGGTACTTTTCCACTTTTCTTGGAACCATCTTTTTATTGTTCTATTTCATCATTGATAAATTGAATGTGTAGTACGTCAATTTGCATTAATCGTTTGCAGCAATAGAATATTACATATATGTATGCTGAATGATTCATTCCATCGAAAAAAAAAAAACGATTTCTTTTTTCCCGTATCTATTCAATATCGATATTTTACACGCACAACTGCAGGTGTGAAACAGCACATTGCATAATTTGTACTATTTCTCATTGGTGATAGAGGTGACATTGTGATCACTAGTATCACATCAAACTCCAGTTGTAACATGAATTAGAAAAAAACTTCAAAATAAGTCGAAAGTGAATTACTGGAAAAACAAACAAACAGTTGTCCTGCTTTCAAACAAGAACATAATTTATTCTATCGAAAGAAAAAAGATTATGCATTTTATCAGCCCTTTGTATAGCAGCAGACTTTGGAATTATTTACAATTTTTAGTCTGGCTTTTTGTGGATCTATGAATATTTTTTATTCGCTAATCGAAAATTTCGATTTCTTTTCTTTCGTGAATTGAAAGTTCTATTTTATTTCATTCCCACGTAGCGCAATGCGCGATGCAATGGTTTTCTTCCCGAGAATTATTGCACAACGCGGCAAGTGGAATTGTGCAGTAAGCAGCTATACATCAACATGGTAACATAATCAACATAATCATCTTAATCAACCTAATAACGATAACGATTACATAATCAACATAATAACATAATCATCAAAAAGAATATTGTTACCTTCCCCCCTTTTGATTATTATACATGTATTCATCAATAAAGAAAATTTGCATGGGCCGCGTTTTAGACGTGCATGTGTATAGTAAATTAGTTTTGCTATTGGAAGGAAAATTATGCGGGCATTCTTTATGATGCAAAAAATCGTGTGCTTTTTTTGATGATTCAAAGAATTCCACATTAATGAAAACGACGATATGACTTTATAAAAACTGCGTAAACGGTTGGCTCTCGAAGCTTTGAAATTAATATCAAACATTCGCCAATTTAAAGAATTTAAACGTCTTGATTTTTTTCGCTGGTAAATTACAGAGATCGGGTGCCCCTCTAGTATTAGTATGTAGAAGAAAAGGAAAAGGAAAAGGAAAAGGCAAAGGTATTTAGTATCTCCGTGCCTTAACTATTGACCTTAGCCTTAACCTTTTTTATTATCGATGTGTATATACAGAATCAACACTAATCTTGACACCATCCTAATTTGGGCCGATTCCCATATATACAGCATAAACCGACACCAGTTACTTAATTTTTAAAAGATTCTTTTATTCAATTAAAAGTTACAACAGTTTAAAATTATTCTTTTTCATAAGTTGTTTCTAATTTGGCCGGCAATTTTGATTGGCTGTATGTCATTGCACGTGATAATTTAATAATGTGATACAGTGTGGGACATGAATTTTTTAGCGTTAGCCAAAATATTCTTTTGGCCAGGCGAAGAAATGATTGTGATTGGCTGAATGTCAGAGCACGTGATACACAAATCAGATGTATTAGGCTAACACTATGTAGAATAATACTGACCAGAATTAATATGTTCCAAATTGTTGTAATGTTGCATTATCCTTGATAATTGAAATACATGTCATATTACATATTTCTATCTGAGGGAGAAATCTATGTCATGTGACACTGCATAGGGTGTTGGTTTATGCTGTCCCGCACACGATAATATTCATATGGGCTGATTCAATTCTATATACAACCGATCTAACTCTAATCAAATCTAAATTGTTTTGGAAGTCAAATCAGCACATATGTTTCATAAGTAACAAAACCCTATAACTGACCATTAAACCCGGAATTGACAGCTTGGTATCAGATAGAGCGAAGTTATATAGAAGGATGACCGCTCTACCAGGATTAATACAGGATTAGTACCCTGAATATATGTATCACTGTTCACTGTTTTCAACTTGTGCGACAAATATTAAATAACAGCAGAAAATTTCCCACTGTGACGTCTTAGTGAGATAATTATTAGGTTAAAACAAGATGAGTAACAAACAAAGAATATTAATGTTTACGGGAAGTTTAACTATTACAAGATATTAATTACCTAGATGACAAGAATTTGATTAAAACTGAAAAGTATGTAAAAAAGATATCACACAATTGTAAAATACACAATTAAGAAGAAAATGATGGATTGTTTGAAATGCAATTAGTCTGATTTTGAACGAATAAATCGGTTTCATTACTTGGAGATTCGCGTATTAAATCACCCAAAAGAAATCTTTCGATTTCTTTTCTTGCTTCGTTTTGTCTCTTCATCTTGGGATTCTTCGCCGTGCCCTAGTGTAATCTTCTATAAATCTTCTACTATTATATTGGTTTGTGTTCAAAGTTAACCTGTCTTGGTGGACAGATCTCTCGCTGCTAGAAGTCTCACATCTTTCTAATGCTCTTAATGAGAGCTCGCGTTCTCGAAGTCTTCGCGCTGCTTCACTATCAAGATGCGGAACAGTCATGGTTCTATCTGATAATAATGATCCCGGATCTTCAGCACCATCCTCATCCTCATCCTCATCTTCATCTTCTTCATAATCCTCATCCTCATACTCGTCATCATCCTCATCATCATACTCGTCATCATCATACTCGTCATCATCATCACTATCGACTGAGAATCCAGCATATTTTTGTTCACGGCGCGGCTCAAAGTCTCTGGAAGCTCGAATTCTTTGTGAAAGAAATGTAGAAACATGCGCAGTTGAATTGCGTCCCGTAGGTGGGATTGTAACAGTCTTAAGTTCTCCAGGTTCAGGACGAAATGGAAGAGTAACTTCTTTGATTGCTCGACGTTTGTCGCAATTAATAATATGCTGTGTTATTATGTAAAGGAAAATTAATGAGATCTTTATGAATAACGGTAAAATAGCAATTACTCACTTCTGATTCTACGCGGAAAAAGGTCCATTGCCAACGTCTATGAAAACAAAATTAAAATTAGAGAAAAAACCAAGAAACTAGAACTCAAGTGAATTTGAATTTTCCATATTTACCGAAGCATTTCAGCAAATCCTATTAAAAAAAGGATGAGTGAATCATGATCTTTATAATAATAGTTCATCGTCCAACTAAATCTCAAAATGAAATTTGACACAATCGCAAAGTAATACACCGATTTTTGGCTAAATCCCAATTCATCCCGAAGAAAGATATTGTCGCTCGGTTGAAACAAGGACCAGTCCATCATTACGTCCCATGAGAAAGTATAAAGTGAATTTATACACTGAGATATTATCAAAATCACACCCCAACTAGGTTGTTCTACAAAACCTTTGATCAAAATAAAAAAGTATAGTGAATACTTATTTTTCAGTATTTAATTATTATTATTATTATTATTATTATTATTATTATTAAACTTACTTCGATGAAGAGATGCAAAAATTATAACTAAAATAGATGACATATATTTCCCTGCGTTTGCTAAATGTAGCGGATATTTTTTTTCGGTGTCCAAAAAACGTTTCAAACATTGTAATAATCTCCAAAAAGGAGGAAGTGTAGCAAGAAGCAAGAATTTCCCTATATCCGCAGTACATCCTTCTTTTGTCACAATCAGGTTTGAATTCAAATTAGCCACAATTCATTAATATTTCCACTAACATTGAATAAATCAAAAAAAAATAATACTTACGCAAGTCATTCCATTCATTTTTATAGGCACAACCAAAGATTCCCATAGTGAAAAAAGTGTACGATAAACTGTTTAAACAGTCCGCAATAAAGAAATCTCGAAATTCGACAGGGAAAAAGGATGAAAAGAATACTCGAAACTGAAAGTATACGACACATTGGAAATGTCGAATAAGAATAAGGTTAATTGAGGCACATTTTTCAGAAAAAATTATAAACTAATTGAGCATTATTACCAAACCAACAATAAACCATCTTCTTGCATTATAATGAAATATCGGAAGAGGACAAAATATGATACTGAGAAAGATCACAGCAAAAAAAGCAGGGAACCACGTAGAAGGAATTAATGATTGAGAATAGGCAAGGAACAATGTCGAAATAAATAACAAAAATCCCAGCGATGGAAGCTAAAAAGATAAAAATAAAATAAATTAGTAAAAAATAAAATCAAAAAATCAAACCAATTTTATGCCTTCAGTAAGAAAAAAAATTACCTCAAAATATTGCTGATAATCCAAATTTTCTCGAAGATCAAACTCAAAAATAAACTTATAATTTATTCTTTCTTTGGTCCATAGGATCAAGTTCAATCCAAACAACAATGGTAACAGAATGGGAGGTAAAAAGCCACCGTATATTCGTAAGATTATATCCCAGGCATCATCAATTTTTGATCTAAAAACTAATATAAGTAATTATAATGAATTATTGATCAAGAATTTAAAATTCCAGGATTAATAAAATAACAAACAAACAAACAAGCTTACTATATCCAAACACCTGAACGATGAGAACCAAACTAATGCCCATGTAAATACCAGCACGCCATACTGATAAATGATGTATCTAAATAATGTTAGAATACATGAAATTTAATTTGCTTTTTATGATAAAAAGATTGAAAAGTAGAAATTAATATTACTTGATGCAATTTATCAGGAAGGCGAAGTTTATCCATAGCTTCACTTCGCCTTCCACCTTCAAACTTATCTGCATAAAAATTCTAGAGAATCAATTGGTCGAAAAATATTAAAATTGAATCTATAATATGATTTATAAATTCGAAAGCAAATACTCACCTCAGTTTCTTTGATAATTCTATCCAATTCCTTGGATGTTACAAAATAGCTATCATTTACTTTTTGCATATATATGTAACCTCCTTTCCATCCTGCTAGCTAATTTCGATAAAAAAGATCAATTTAATAAAATGATATTTATTTAGTATGAATCAATCATTATTGCAAAAAATTACCTTATCAAATTTTTTGAGAATTTTAACGAATCCATATTTATTCAAAACCTTTTAAGAAAATATTACACAAAGAATTTAATAAATGAAAAATATCCGAACGATAATATTGTAAATTTAATAACCTTGAAATTTTTCAATAATTCGGTTCCTCGATAAAATTCAAACACTGCTTTTTTGATTTTTTTACGCGCATCTCTATAATCAAAATCTACGAGAGATTTCTCTTGTTCTATAAGTTTGGCTGGCGAACTTGCCATTGCGTTCTCAGATTGAATTTTATTAGTTCTCACAGACATGGAAAGACCATCAATACTTCGTTTGACTAAAGCAATGGGAACAGACCGGCCATCCTAGTGAATAAATAAAGATTGATAAATTCTTTTATAAAAAAACATTTTTCTAATTATTTTTTAACAAATAATCAATCAATTCTCACTTGTGATCTTTGCTTTTTTCTGAGTTCACGCATTTTTTTGTATTGAGCCTTTAGAATTTCGAAATTTTTTGCCGCTTTTGCTTCCTCTCCTATTAATAGATAAGGGAGTATAAGCTCAAGCAGTTAATATTCAAATGCAAAAAATAAAAATTACTTTTATAAAATTTTGTGATCGTTTCTAATTCCTCGTCTAACTTTTCAAAAAATACGCGTTCATCATCGTTCACGTGATCCATTAAATTATCAAGAGTCACGCTTCTATGAATGTCATTTCGATCTAATTAAAATAAAGGAATGATGTGTTAAACTCTTAGCATTAAAGCATAAGTGTGCAAAAAAAATTTTAACACAAATAGCTACAATGAACGGGAGGAGAGCTGAAACTAGCCCTGAACCTGGTCGACACTCTTTCTATTAGAGGTTTCATTCCCGGAATACTACTCATACTCCAGGTGCGGTAATTTAGTTCGCCGGGGGCCTGTATTGGCCCTTCTGAGCGCAAAGTTCGATTTTCGTAACTCAGAACAGGTTTACGGCTGATTTTTGCTGTTTTTTCGTATTCATGTGCTTTTTCCACACGTTTTAGTAGCTTTTTAAGATGTTTGTAATCTATATATCTATAAATTGAAATATTATTATTTCTCAGAAACTTCATTAAAATGCAACAAAAAAAAACTTACTCTATTCGCCACTCGGGCACTAACTCTGCTTGAAGAACTTTGGCGAATTTCATTTCGCGAAATGTCTTAATAGAAGTTGTCTATCTCAGCTAATATCATAAAAGGAAACTTTTGAACCAAGCTTGGGGGAAAAAGTTTGTATTTTACGGTCATGTCGTATTTATTTATTTAGATTCAGAATCGTAAAAAATATGATGAATAAAGTTGCACTCCCATATTAGTCAAGAAAATCCATAATGAAAACCACGCGATTAATCTTATCGTATATTGAAAATCATGTTCCCGATTAAAGTTTATACTCTTGAATGAGTTTATTATTGTTTATAGATGGCCATCCATAAATTAAAACTGTGAATTTAATATTCTGTAATGTTTTGAAGACCAATAATTAAACATAATGATAATAATAAATGTAAGTTTAGTAGTAATCCAGGAATAGTCGTGTGGTCCAAATTTTCAACTACATAACATACTGACATAAAACGATGTCTAGTTGAAAATTGGTGTTGTCCGTGGTATTGGCATATATCGAGGTTTCCAACATGGGCAGTTATGATATTTTCCAACGTTAGTTGCTAAATAAATCCTTCATTCTGTCAGCCTCCCAAAGGATTGGTGCAATTTCACGACCGAGTTGTCGATCCTTTCTTGGCAAATTTCTGCTGATAGTATAAAATTAAATTTGTTTTTTTCTTCTATTTCGCTTTTACTGCTTACGTACCGAAAAATTTTTGAGCCTGTGTGTATATCTATTAGTAAAAATGTAAAGAATTTGCATCGTTGAAAATAAGAAGACAAACCATTCTCTTGCTATTATATTGCTGTTTATTTCTTGGTGATAAAGTAACGTAAATGTGTTATAATGACAATTATGAATTATTCGTTTTATTATTTATCTTATAAAAATCTCGATTTCGAACAGTGAGCTTGCTTCCTCTATATTAAAATTCTGAAGTTGAAGTATAACTATACACAATATAATCAACGGCAATTGCAGCTCGTGGATCATACACAGCATATTCAGGCCAATTTAAAGACCCGTGTCCACGTGTTCTACAAGTTCCTACGGCACCATAAACTGAGTCATATCCTTCAGGAGGGGCGGTTTTTTTTTGCTGCACAATGTTTTCATGATACGGTTTTCCAATCGCAACAAGGCAACGTAGTAAGACTTGCGTTTTTCGCGTAGGATCGTTAGAATGGCACTTTTGCTAATTAAAAAAATTATTCATGTCTAATACAACAACAAATAGCTATGCAAATAATAAGTCTAGACAGAAACAAACCGCGCCACGTGAATAGTAATGCGCTTTCGATGGATGCGGAGCGAAATAAAAGCCTTTCCCCAATCTCTGGAAAGTTTCGCCGCGTTCATTATGCCCAATTTTATTAGGATCAAATCCATTTAGAATAACTCCACAAACTCCACAATCAGAGCTTCCACATAATATTTGAGGATTCGATTGCAATTGTCCGTTTTCTGTTGTGAGAAGTGGACCACAATGCTGATGTGTTCCATGATAAAGTGCCATAACTTTATTATGATTGTAAATATTATCAACGTCATCATCACCCTCGTTTCTCATGCTCAATATCATTGCTTTGTATTCGTTGAAAGTTTTGACTTGACTTGGACTTGGATAAATCTCTGCGATTGTTTCGATTCGTAAATCTGTCACATTCTGCTTTTTCCAGTCATTCATTATTGAAGTTACTAAAGAATTATATCGCTCTGAAGATTTCGAGAGTGGGAATAACGTCACAAATTCGTTGGTTTTGGAGGTTGGGAGTTTGATTACCCCAATATTTGTAATATTTTTTCCTCCTTCTATTTAATAATATAGAAAGTTACTTTTTCTTTGTCATTATTAATGAAATAAAATAAAATAAGGGAAATTTTTATTATTTACGTAGTATCGCAGCACTATGATCTTCACATAGACGCGTTCCAGGCGTTAGACGTTTGGTACATTCTGGCACCGGGCAAAGTAGCGTTTTTGTTTCAGTGATAACAAGCGAGTAATAAGAAGATGTGGAAACAGCCATTCTTTCTATTGAATTCTTTTGTTTGATTAAAAATAGCATGAAAATGAATAGACCTTAATTAAGTAGTGTAAAATGCATACCATTCCATAAGACTGAATTTAAATTAGATTAAATGAAAATATGAGATTAGCAAAATAAAAGAGAAAGCAAATTTAATTATGTTTTGTGCTTTTATTATACAAATGGTTTGATTGATTGTTTGTTGTTGTTATATGATATGGTTCTATAACTCCGATTAGGAAGTAAATATCGTAAATATGATAGATTAGAGGCTTCTTGATCATATTTACGGATTAAACTTTCGTATTTACTTCCTAATTAAAGAGTTATAGCATTTAAAACATACAATTTATTAAGGCTGCGCACTATCATTTAAAAAGTGCTCTTAATCAAACTTACCCAATATTAGTAATAGATCAAGTTCTATAACTTTGGCTCAGTTTATTAAAATTATACATCAGAAATTTGCTTGATAAAGAAGTAAATCATGAAGAATAAAAAATAAAGACCTTAAATCTTTCTCGGGCGAATTATCCAGACCACACATTAACGAAGAATTAGGTTCGTTATTTAAAACACAACAGAAGAAATCTCTCGGGATCTTGCTGTTCTTGATTAATAATTATACGCAGTAGTCCCATTGCAATTACATCATTTAAATTAGGATCACCTGGATTGTTAAATTATCAATAATATCAATATAATAATAAATTTTAATAAAATTAAATACCGTCGGATTTTAGCATAAATTCAACGATATACAGTTAATTTTATGTCAATTTCAGCAAAATTCGAAAATACGATCTATAAACTCGTTTAATTTCAGGCAATTCATAACATAGCAAAATTGTAAACTGCCATGAACAAGCACCACCCTATTTCGATCCAAAAATAATAAGACAATGAACAACAGTGAATAAGAACCACTAAATTTAAATTACAAAATATATCTAAAATCGCTTTTAATGACGATAATTTTAAATTGTCCAGAAACGAGTACAACCCCGTTTTTTAGAACCCAAAAAATGGTGCTTATTCACGACAGTTTACGGTAATTCATATAAGGGTTAATACTTAAAAAGGGGTTGATTTTGCGTAAAAAAGAAAATTTCAAGCGAATTTAACGAATTTCTGAAAGATGAATTAATTTTCATGATTTAGCATTAGTTTGCATGCTCAATTTGATAGGAAACCTTCAGAATCACATTTTAGAAATTTTTCAATAAAATCTCCAAAGTTTTTTTAAGACAAGAAAACAATAATCAGCTTATTCATCAAGTATTTCTTTCTACTTGTAATCAGTGTCTCAAAATTCTATTTACACGTGAAATCCAATATCGATATTTCTTATCATACCAATTTGATTGAAAACCAGTTTTATAATAGTTTCGTGTACCTTTTTAAATGGATAATTATTCTGCGTATATTTAATTAAATTATATTGTATCGTACTAGATTTTTAAAGTATAAAAGAAGAAATGGGTATTCGTATAGAAGGATTGTTCAGTAGACTGGTGCATGAATCGTAAATTCCAATAAAGACTCAATATATAGTAGAGAGCTACTGGATCGATGGATATCTATAAACAATGACTGGAAAGACATCTTACTCTCTTTTAGCATACTATAACACACTATCACCGACAAAAATATCGAAATTCCCCATTTCTAATGCTGACAGAATCTGGAGAATCTTGGATGCAATAAGAGAATGTAATAAAATGCTCGAGTATTTTTACTTTATCCCGAACTTCATCTGTCGTTATATTCCAAATGATACATAAATATACGGAGAAAATAAATTCAAACTCAAAGAATTTTATTGATTAGAGTTAATTAACCTAGAAATTGCTTTTTTCCTAAGCAAGAAATTCTTGCTTCTAAAGAAGGATGAAAAGTTGAAAAAATTGAGCTTGTTAGGATTGAAGTTTATTAGTCTCTTTATCGCGTCGTAGAGTCTTCACTGCTAACTTTCAAAGTATTAATTACCAACAACTTAAGCTCTTTATGACAAATAAGTCAAAGAACGGGTAAAACAGTAAGAATTCGTTGAATAGTGAAAAGAAAAAAATCAACGTAGCGAAAATAATGGTAACAATCTTGCTAAAAGAAAGATTTCCTTCAGTAATTAAAAAAGCTCAATAATAAAGGAAAAATAAACCTTAAACTAATAAAATTGCTACCAAGTCCTTATGAATTAAGTGGGAAATATCGTGAGCTAATACTCCTTGATTTCCTCTTATTAATCAAGTAATCTTCCGGCCGGCCAATAGCAAAAGCGTTAATTTCTCGCAAAGGATAAACCTCAACTTCCGGCATAAGAATTTCGCAATTCTGTCTGAACAATCTCTTGTAATTTCGAATATTTATCCAATTCTTTTCTTTTGTCGATGATTCTTGCCTTGATCGTTATTCTTTGGCCAAGAAATGAGTAAGTAAAATATCCAATCAAAAAAAAATTCGCAAACGCTTGATAAGTTAGTTTACTCTTTCTTATTTAAAGGTCAAGAATTAATTCCCAATGAGATGATTTGTCACTGGACTGGACATGTGCAAAAATTCTCCGTAATTTCAGTGAATTGGCAAACCTTTTATATTTTACTATTTACATTAATTTTGATGATTTCTGATTTGTTCATAAGCTTGATTTAGGAATATCTAAGCAGCTATCGATTTGTTTGTCTGAAGTTAATTAGCTTTCATATAACGTTCCGCTGTCATATTCACTGATTTTGTTTATACAATTACTATAACTCGTGACTTCCCTTTATTGATCATTAAACAAAGCTCTCCGCTTTTTTTTCTTAAATGAAATCGGGAACTGGGGGATGGTGCTCTTGGTGCACGTGGAGTAGATTGATTGTGTGCATCGCATTTTATTTTTATTTTTATTTTAATAAATCCTTTTAGTATTAAATCACATTGAAAAAATGGCGGTTGATCAGAGAACAGTCATCCTAACGCTAAGTTGAAATAGTTCTAATAATCTCTACCAATCATTTTCTTTATTTCCACAAAACTGACGAAATTAATGCACTGCTTTAAACGTGGTAAATCTCATATGAAAAAAACGTGCATCTTCACGATTATTCCGAGACAATTATGGTCTCTTGTAGAAATGTACCGCGAGCGAGATGAGCTACCTATAAAAAATAAATAAAATAAAATAAAATAATGAACAATGAATAATAAATAATAAATAATAAATGAATGATAAATAATAGTGAATATTGTTGTAGTTCATTCAAGTAAACCAAAACTATCAAACGTCATAAAAACATCATGTATATTGATTGTTTGAATTGGGTCATTACAAAGACAAAGAACCTACATATTTCAAAAGTTTCCAAGAGAATGAGAAACATAATACATACATGCATATTATACTGTATATATACAGCAAAATAGCATACACATACATGGAAATGTGTAGATTGTAAAGTGAATTGGTTGTACGTGTGAATGAAATAGACCTAAATAAAGAAAGTAGGCTGGATTCACCGATTATTAACGCGCGTTTACCTGCATTTTCACATAAAAATGTTACATAACAACCACAGAACAATACGAGATGCAACGGAAGATGAATCGCAAACACTGTGTTTGTTTTCTCGCAGTAGATATTGTAAAGATAAGCGAAACATGAAAGCGAAAATAGAAAATACGTGCATATTGTTTGATTGCTATAATGCATAAACAAGTGTATGTTCAGATTAAAATATAAGAAAAACCGTTGTTTGTATCAATGCTTATTTTGGTATATAATAAACGAAAAATCATCTGATTTTGTTTAATTTTCTGTATTCACTGATGATGATAACCTGTACGTAGTGAACAATCCTTCGTTTGGAGTTTTATATATAATGTTAAAGTAACTTTTTTTTCGCAAATATTCATACATTCATGCATGCATGCATACATACACATACATAATGTATACCTTTGAAAACAACAAAAGTAACGGTAACCATATAATTTTTATCGATTGTCACGCAATTTACACATGTTGCCATGAAAACAATGACTACCTAGTAGCAATGTGTTACTAAACTCTATTCTTTAAGGCATTTCGGCCAATTTTGGGAATGTTTTCCAACGCTGCATTAAGATGTTTGTTGTTGGTAGTAGAAGATGATTTGAGATTAAATCCTAAATAGTTGGAAACTTAATTCTTTAATAAAACAATGCGAAAATAGATTTCTTAGTGTTAAAAGAATTGTTTTTTTTTGGCAGTTTTTTTATTATTTAATACATATTTATCTTTATTTGTAGTGAATTTTAGATTAAAAATCTATGTGCGAGGAAAAACGTGGGGTTCAGAAATCCAGTTATGCAAACCTGCAAGTACCAAATGTCTGTCGGTATCACATTTCATTTTATATATTCGTCCATGCCATTTCAAAAATATACAAAATATTGTATATCTTTATAATGGGAATTACACGATTTTTATACATACTCGCCGATATTGCGTGTCGAAATTGTAAATTCGAGAATCAATAATCAAAAAAAGTGTAAGAAATCAATGTTTCAGTTGAGTCAAGTACGAGAGATTTTCTTTATCGTTTTACAAAATTCGTTCACTGGATTGATTTGTCACTCACAATGTCAAAAGAGAAATATTATTAGTCAAGTCTACAATACATAATAGTATGTTATTATAACTGATGTGTGTAGATATGCACATTATCGTATATACACCAATAATAATGAAGATCACAGTTTTCTATCGCGTGTTACAAACGATGATGAGATAGAGAACAAGTTTGCGGGGGAAAATCCCAAAGAAAGAAAGAGAATAGAGAGAGAGAGAGAACGAACAATAACCCCATTCACAAAAGAAAACAATTTACCAAATAATAGTAGTATTAATAGCATTAATGGTAGTAAGGTGGAAGACCCAAAATTGGCATAGATACGAAATGTCAAATTATTAATTTATATTTAGATAAATGAACACGTTACTACAATGGGTTCGAGGTGGATTTTATTTATGTGCCAATCAAAAAAAAACATGCTTTGCAACTTGTTATTCACACACAATAGTAAATACTACACAGAAAGAACGCACAAACAAATTGCTAATCCGTTTGTTAGTTAATTTGACAGTTTTTATTTTGTTTATTAAAAACTTTAATATCTGGAATAGAAAAAAAAATATAAATAAAAATACTCAATCTGAGAAGCTTCGACAATCTTGTAAGATGAAAAATTCCGGTTTAATAATAGTGTATATTATTGAGATGACGATGACGATGATGACGAATAAGATTCTATTTGCGGGGTAAAAAGAAACAACAATAGCAGATTCCTGGAGCTTGTATTTTGTAATAACTACAAGGGATGTGAAACCAACAATTATATTATTATATCATTATCACAGGACAAAAATTTCGTAATAATAAAACTTCATCGAAACAATCAAAAGTTCCTGACGAAAGGGAATCATACCTCCAACGGATCAATTATAATATATTGACTCATTGCATTCAGAGAAATCACGAATTACACGTATTATAATGAGTAACGGCCGTTCGATACTGCATAACATATGAGAGATGTCATTTCATTGTAGATATTAAGGTTTTTTACTAAAATTGGGAAAATTAGATTAAAATTCTATTGCTATGTACTGCAAAAACTATGACGATGATACAAAGAAAGATCCTTTAAACTTGCATTTGAAAATTCATTTCAGACACTCTCACACATACACACATGTGTCTCAACAATATATATATGACAGTAACAAAAACGTGGTAAAAAAAGGCCGTGGACAATCATTCTCTCAAGATGATCTATATTTAATTAACAATAACAATAACAATAACAATAATATTAATAATATCCATTTATGGGATAAACATGATTTTTTCGTCATCGTTGATATGCTTTTCACTAATAATTATATTTCTCCTATTGTTTCCATCATGCCATCTTTTCATAGCGATATACTTGGTCCCGTGAAAAACTCGGGTTTTGCTTAATTTCTTTTGTTTACAAAAAATGTTTTTTGTTGATGCGAGGAATTAGAGCACATACAGATGTGTGGATAGATTAAGACATAAGATATTCAGAAATAGAAAAGACATAAGATATTCAGAAATAGAGACGAACGCAAGCAGCAGAGAAATATTACTTCAAGATTTTATCTGGGAACCCAGGGAAAGTTGTCAAAGATAAATAGATGACGATTATTTTTCTTCGGTTTATTATTATTTCAGATATCGAATGAAAATCACTTTGTCGCTTATCATTTGATCATCTTCGTCATGTGTGTTTCACAATAATAAATATGTGTGTGTGTGTATATTAATTATATGTACATATGTTTAATTTTTCACATGTTTGGGCTGTCAAGCAGAGCGGAAGCAAAAAAGAATAATTGATTTGTTGGTCGCAAAAATTAACTATATAAAGAGCAATCGTCGTCATCATATCAATAGTTTTTTTTTTTGACAATACGCATAAAATGTATGTTTGTAGTATAATGTATAATGATAATATAAATGTATATCTATATCTATATCTATATCTATATATCTATTATATTATGCATTAATAATATAATAATGTTTTATTGTACTTTCATTGTGCGTTACATACTGTCAGTGTTTCGACTCAAGTAAAAGTATGCAAAATTTGACACAGACAAAACAAGAGAAAGGAAACGAAATTTGTATAAAAAAGAAGCGCAGAATTTTCATTTTCTCAAGATGCTGCACACACACTAATTACTCTCGTCTTCTTTGTAACCTGCTGAAGAACATATATCATCAACAACGTCAACTAAAACAAATTCAGTTACGCTCTAATTAAATCAAATCAAACGCTTTTTCTTCCCTTATTATTTATCATTATTATCAAGAAGAAAAAAAAGTTATAAACGATACAAAATTAATATCTCTCTTTTTTTGTCTGTTTTTTTTTTTCGTTTGTCTTTCCTACTTTGTCTTTTCAATGAGAACAAAACAAACAAGCGTAAAAACATAACAAATAAACTGCATGCACATATAAAACAGTAAACTTTTTTTCACGGTATAAAACACGAAAATAAATATACTTGCTCTGCATCCAACAATAGCGATTTAATAATCAAATAGCATTGCATATATATATATCTATCTATCTATATATAAGAAATCATTTCCCCACATCTTCCAATATTAATTCCAATATTAATAATAATCCATCATCATGAAAGCTGCACTTTCCAATATTCTGTTACATCCGGTGCCCAATTCCAATCCGCATTCCTCCGCTTTCACTCCCTCTTCTCATTCGCTTGATTCTTATCGATCCTTTTATTATAATAATCACCAGCATCCTCAACAGCAGCAGCATCATAATTATCAACAGTATCTTCCCAATCCACTTCCCACCACCTATCACCATCCATTATCACCACCACAAGAACCTGCAATAATGTTTTCAATGCCACAACATCACCATCACCAAGTGCAACAAGGCGTTAATGGAAATAATGACAACAGAATTGGTAATGGTAATGGTAATGGTAAGAAACGTGCACATTCAACATCGTCATCCGAGAAATCGAATGCGCCACGGCCGTACAAGTGCACGATGTGTAGTAAAGCATTTCATCGTTTAGAACATCAGACGCGTCATATAAGAACTCATACAGGGGAAAAACCGCATCGATGTGAGTTCCCTGGATGTGAAAAAAAATTTTCTCGATCTGATGAATTAACGAGACATCGAAGAACTCACACAAATCCAACAAAAAAGGATAAACGCAAACAATTACACAAGTTGAATATGGAGTTCAAGAATAACAGCGTTGTCTCCTCTTCATCGAATCTGATGGCATCCTCCTGTTCAAATTATTATAATCATCTAGAATGTGGAATGTCATTTGCTCCCATCAATCATATTAATGCAATTTCTCCAACTTTCGAACCTCCAAGCAAAAGAATGCGTCGTCTCAGTAATGAAGATAGCTGTCGTAATGGCATTAACAATAATAATTTGCCAAGTCCATCATTATCAGCAAGATCTTTTGATCGTAATAATAGTGAAGGACTAAATGGCAGCATTCATTCAAACCTCTATTCTGAAAATTGCTCTGATTCTGAGAATGAATTTTCACCTCCAACACCAGAGCAATCACCTGTGCTTGGCCCTCAAATAGAAGAGGCAACAGTCAACATTAATAATAGTAATCACTATTATTACAACACCACCACTACCACCACTAACAGCGGTGTAATATTGCCACCGATGATTGATTGGAAGACTAATTTCACGCCAAATATTCTAATGAAAAAAAATACAATAACCTCATCTAGCACTGCGAACGCTGCACCGACAAATACCAACCTAATAATACCTGGAAATAGTTCGGCAGCTAATCGTATTAGTGATATTGTAAATACTCCATTGCCACCACAGGAGAGATTTTTACCACCACTCAATTCATCATCGTCGCTGCAATTGACAATCTCCGGTGCTAACAACAACGCGTTTGATTGTTGTGCTTTACCACCTTTCAGATACTAATATATTTATAAGCATCAATTATTACATAATGGATGCATTAATTACTTTTTTTATTTTTATTATTTTCCCTCCTCTTTCTTTTCTTTTTTTCCTATTAAGATGTGTGTAACAAAAAAATCAAAACACCCAAAAAATTTAAAAGATAAACTCGCCAAAATTTTCTCTTGTTTCTTTTCTTCTTTCAATTTCGACTATCATAAAAATGAAATTACTCCGAAGAATTATACGCATTTACATAATCTCGAGAAACTTTAATCTTCTTTTTTATTTTCTCGATTGGCTGTGGTGGGCAACGTCAATCACCGGAAAATATTAAAGATTTAATATAAAGTTTAAAAGCATTACCGATTTTTGATTTTCTCCATCGATTTTTTCCTTTACTAAATAATGTAACATCATTACGCTTTCGAAGAAATTATAATTCTGGGTGAATCCACTATATCTTTAACATAAACCCCCCCCCATCTTTAGTACATATTACTAGTAATACACACGCATCCTTTTCTTTCCCTGTTTATATTTTTTGTTGCTGCTTTTGTAAGATATTTTTTTTCTTCCTCAAAAATATATAAAGATAAAATAGACATTCGTTCTCCCATATATATATATATACACATATAAATTTTATTGCCTTATTCTAAACACATAAATAAATAAATCCACACCATAAATCATGAATTGTTTGTACATAGTAGTAGACTTCATATACACCCTCTTGACATACATATAAATATAAATATCCCTTTTTATAAAAAAAATATACACACTAAAAACGTTTCTTCTCTCTTCTGAAGTTGAACGACTCTTCTTTTTATCTCTACTTATTCATAAAGTTATTATGCCTTCATATCTTATGCAAACACGTTTTTCTCAGCGATCTACAGATCTTTCGTCACGCGTCATTAATTACATCACCATGAAAGTATTATAATTACGTAATTACGCAACGATTCATTTTTTCCTTCCTAAGCATAAAAACATAACAAAACTCCTTATTTTAAAAAATATATGCGCAAGTTGTGCTTTGCTCTAGTTTATTTTATAATATAATATATTATATTGTATTATACACACCCTATATCCTTAAAATCCTCTTATATGTATATATACTCACATTAGTTTAAATTAGTAGAGATATTAAATGTTAAACAACTTCACAAAAAAAAAGATTTAATAAAAAATTGAAAATCCTTGTACATACTATGAAATAATCGTATATACTTTCTAAATCGATAATGAATATTGTTGAGACGCGTTTTTGATAAGACCTTCTTATCACACGTGAGAAAATCTGATCGTTTTTAGAATTTCGGAAATTTTATTTACAAACAAACAAATGTTTATTATATCTGCGGGGTAGTAGATAATAGATCGTAATTTCTATTCATCTCGATTTTGCTCATGTACAAAAAAACAGTTGATTGATGAAACATTTCCACCAGAAATAAGAATTCAAGTTTCAGGTAAAATTATGATTGTTTTAACTCCTGTGTCATACAGTATATCTTATTTTATTATATATGTGTAAATTCTATTAGAATACAATTTACACCGTTTCTGTTGCACTCACCCATATATTATACAGTATAAACTTTATATATTATGCATAAATTATAAAATAGGAACACAAAGGAACAATGTGGGTGCACTCTATCAATCGAATCTATATGCATCGTCCCCACAAATCTACAATAATCGCAGTTCTGTTTTTTTGACACATGATGCAAAAAGCAAAGGGATAGACTATATGGGAATATTACATGTATATACATACATGTATGTGTATTCAATTAGTACTTAACTCTGGTTGGCTGGTTAACAAGATTACACAGGCCTGCCGATAGAAAACGTCGAGAGATTTTCTTCAAAATAGTTTTTTGGAAAGAAAACGAAAAATTTAAAGTTTAAACACAATTTTTGACATCCCTGTCAAAAAAGAATGCAGACGTGCTTAGGGTCTACACACAGATGAATTATAACAGAATTAAGTAAATTTAAAAATGGACGAATAGATAAACTTATTGGTATTAAAAAAAAATTTGTTCGAGACAAAAACGAATTTGCAGCTGTCAAACGGTAAGAATATACTCTAAAATAGTATTTAAAGCCATTTTTGTTGTTTAACTTAAAAGATATGGTTTGAAATAATCAATAAACGTTTTTAAGTTTTTTCTTTGGAATTTTAGTCTGATTAAAAAAATCAGATTTATTTTCCTTATATAACGTATTCTTAACGAGAATATGTATCGTAACGAAAATCGCCAAAATCTAATTTGCTATATTTATTGGAGAGTCATTCATTAGTTATGTTGAATTGACGGATAAGGTATTTCTTTGCTATATAAATGGGCCACCTCCGTTAATATGAAACCGGTTACTGACATCCGCGTTAATATGACAAAAATATTCGACCCAAACAATTATACAGAATAGTTGATTATTATGGCTTAAACTCTGTTCCAATGATGTCATATTAACGGGGGTGGACTGTAGGTTAGTTAAATAATAATATTAAACCAAGAAGTATTAGAATCAGAAGCTTCTTTTAGAATGATTATCTATCTCAGATTAACAAAGTTGATATATATCGATTTAGTCGATTTCGACAAAATTTAGTTGATTCCAGTAGTTAACATGAATACCGTTTTTAGTATACGCGGTAAAATTTCAGCATAAATTAGTATAAATTTATCATAAAATCAACACTGAATTTGGATAAAAATACGTTCAATGTGCAAATGCAGGTAATAACCAGCCTAATTTTCATTCACACGTATAATCACCGATTTAAATATATCATATGCATGTATGAAAACTGCAGGTTCTTTGTCTTTTTAATAACCAAATTCATACAATCAATAGATTTGATTTGTTATTGGATCATTCGCATTTTTTTTACTCGAGCAAACTACTACAACAATGTTTATTATTCATTATTTTATTTTTTATGAGTAGTTTAGTTCGCTCGGTAAAGGTAATTACATTTCTACAAGACCGTGATTATGCGAGTTTCCCATGTCTCGGGATAATAATGAAGGTACACGATCTTTCACATGGAATTTACCACGTTTAAAGCAATACATTGGTTTCTACTATTTTTATAAAAAAAAAAGATTATTAAAATTATTTCGCCTTAAACTATTTTCACACAGTAGTTCTCTGATAACCGCCATTTTTTTTTATCTAATATCAAAGGGATGCATTTCCCGTTTATTAAACAAATAACATTAGAATTTGCCCCAAAATTATTGGCAGTTTAAACAAAAAAGAAATAAACAAAATTTCCCATTTCAAAAACAAGAAAAATCTGCTATCAATTAAAAATGTAATGATATAATAAATCTGTTCCACGTGTGCAAAGCCGCCATTAAGGGAAAAAGCAGAACTTTAATTTAATAAAATGGTGATTTATGTATAAAACGAAAATCAGGCTGCGAACATCTCTTATTGATCGATAGATTTTACAAATATCCATAAGTAGAAACAAAAATCTGGAGTTTTTAATTTAGATATCGATATCAAATAGATAGAAAAAACTATGTCCATAGTTCAAAAAATTATTCTAAATCAAGCTCGTTATAATCTATGGGCAAATCAACAGTTATTAACTACCGTTTCAGAAATTCCGGATGATTCTTATCGAGCTCATGCTGGATTAGTATTTCGCTCGATCCATGGAACACTTAATCATATTTTGGCTACGGATAAACTCTGGTGAATTCACTACACTGTTTTCTAGCATAACGCTAACTCTTAATTTAATATCAAACAACAAATACAAAGGCTCGCCAGATTCACTGAAAATTACGAAAACTATGAAGAATTGTCAAAATTTTGGCGCATGTCTAGTAATATTCCCTTGGCAAAAGATGCTACATCATCTCATTGGGAATCCTTTCTTTCGGATCGAAAAGAATTATCCGCTAAAATTATTGAACAGGTTTCTAATTTTATATTTGATTCGCAAATATATTTACATGAAAATAATCATATTTTCGATCTTTTAAATACGAAAGTCACAAAAATGGATAAATCATATTTCGGCATTGCCTTCTACTTTGGACATTGAGAGCAAATTCTTGACGTATGCCAATTCATCAGGTGTTACTGTAACAACTAACGCTTTGGTCGATTATCTTCATATTTTTAATCATAGCACCCATCATAGGGGACAGGTTTGCATAATTAGAGTTTATAAAATTCTTTTTTTTTTAAAAAAAAGTTATTGCACTTTAAAGTTAATAGGTTTTTTCCATGTGTAGATTTCTGCTGCTATAACCGGATTCGGTTATAAAGCACCTACTATGGATCTATTATATTTTAAACAAGATCATATTAATTGAATTATAGGTTGTAATTTATTAGCTTTTATATCACGGGTAGAATATAACTTAAATAAATGTTGGCACATTGATGATGTATTATTATAGATCTGTTGTTAATTAACATTGGAAAGGCAATGTTATGCTTATTTAACAATAACAAGATTAGAGAAAAAAATTTATAACATACCTTGGTGTTTTAGATTTAAACCTAGTAATCAGTTTTAAGAGTTCACATATTCCGTTGACTCCTGATCTGATTCATTATTCTCAGCCAAAACTAATTCGCGCTGAAATCTCTCGGCAAACTCAGCAACAGTCTGCCCTTGAGAAAAATCGAACATCTCGCGAGGATAACGATTTACAGAAAATGGCTGATTTCGGGATTGACTGGCTTCAGCTTGTGTTCCAATCAGCCGCATATCAAGTTGTGTCATGGCTACTTTGTGTTCAATATGATTAATAAACACTACTAATATGGCTTTCAATGTTAAGTTACTACGAGAAATTGATTGATTGATCGGCATACCTCTCACTATTTCATCCCAGCTATAGAGTAGACTATCAGTTGTGTGATTAAATAGATTAAAATCAATGAGCCACACACGTTCTCGATTTCGCGTGATGTACACATCGAAAACGTCTGTTTGTTATATATACAGACTTGTTTTAGCTGAATAAACTCGAGAAAAAAATCCCAAAGAGAAAAATAAAACGCATTACAATCATTATTTGCGAATTTATGTTGAATATTCAAAATGAAGAATTGTGTTATCTTTGATTGCAACTCCTCCTTAATGTCAAAGAGAAAGGGATAAAAATTGACATCGCGCTGTGAAATTCCTATAGAAAAAATAAGATCCATACATTGTTGTTAGTAAGATTAAAAAACAAAATGTAAATATATAGAAATAAAATACCTATCAATTCATTGCTTTTGACAAAACATCGAAATTCCATCGACGTTGCGACATCATACCATTTTCGTAGTACTAATTCGTACGCTTCGGGATGTTTTCGTCTGGCCGCCTCGTCACTTTCATACTGACAATTATCGAAAGCGTGATCAAGGTCATGTGCAATAAAGTCGGAGCCTTTCAGGAGGAGAAAGATATCTGATGGAGAATTGCATTTTAGAGTATTCGTGGCGGCTATCCAAGTAGCATCCTGAATTTATTTTTGTAAATCATAAATGATTTATTTTTAATATATTTATATAATGAGGATCAATGTAAATTTACCTTAGGCGAACTCCAATTCAACTTTGGAAATACTGCTCCGTCAAATTTATTAATTATATCCCATATTTGATTTTCAAGTTCAGGAAAACTAGGGAGAGGTTCCTAAAACACCCGATGAATTAACATATTATAATTTAAAAACAGATAAAAACAAAATGATAAATAAAATAATTACCTCCTCGTCTTCGTTGACTTCCGCTTCATTCTCGTCTTCGTCTTCTTCGTCCTCGCTTACCTCTCGTATGTAGCCTCTCCCAAGAGAACTAATATATCTCAATGATGCATCTTGCTCACGGTAATTTAAATAAACACCAGCTTTCGTAGTTTAAACTAATCTATTTTTAAACTAACTTGTATTCGGGAAGATAGACACTATCGGCCTGAAGATACTCGACAAATTCGGCTGGCAGTGGTTTAATTATTTGGGATTTTAGAGTGACCCTTCGAAAGGTGTCATACCAGGCAGAAAAGGTACAATTGAGTACATGTTGTTCAGTGAGTTGAGGGAATTGAGGTGGTTCATTGGTAGATGAGAGGGATTCCGAAATTTCACGAATGGTGCCAGGCATTTAGAAAATTGTTTGTATGACCAATAAAAGCCTAACACGTTATTTTTGTCATCCAAAATATTTATAGATGAAATAATTGGTTTTTTTTCTTTCAACTTTTTTGTATTGTTTTTATTGTAGTTAGAGAGTTCACAAAATGAAGGTTCCGTGTTTTGTTTTATCATTATTTCCCTTATTGCTATCTACCACCTCTATTGCTCTTTGTGAAAAAACAGCACAACATCATATTAACGAAGGCAATGTGCTCTTAAGCTCTGGTCGTTTTGACGATGCCCTTAAAAGCTTCGATGCCGCAATTCGTATGTAATTGCTGGTTTTTGTTTTTCTATCTGCTTTTGCCGAAATTCATCAATAGAAAGCTTATTATTAAAACAATTTGATATGATAAAGAACAAGATCCACAAAATTACCTGTGTTATTTCAAACGGGCTGCAACACACTTGTCATTAGGCAGAAGTTCCTCTGCACTAGAAGACTTTTCAAAAACTTTGGCACTTAAACCGGATTTTGACCAAGTACAAATTTAAATATAATCATATATATGCGTTTTTATTTTCATTTGTTTCAAAATCGAATTTCATTTAATTCCGTATTTTCATCTATTTAGGCATTATTACAGCGATCGAAAATATATGTGAAGGAAGGTTCTTACGTTGAGGCCAAACGTGACTTAAAGAATTATATAAGTAAAAATCCAGATGATGCGGATTCTAAAATACTGGTAAGATTTTACAAACATTTAATATTCAAATTATACATCCAACTAAATTTTTTATCATTCATATATAGTTGACTTCAGTTAAAGAAGCTGAGGATGCAATCAGAGATGCGGATGCTTCAATAAAATTCAAAAAATATGACGAAAGCATTAAGCTTTTAAGTAAAGCAATTTCAGTTTCTCCACATTACTCAAGTCTAAGATTGAAGCGAGCAAAATGTCATTTTGAAAAAGGAGAAGTGGAAGAAGGTGTACGAGATTTAACGTAAGGTTTTTATATTCGACCATTTCGATAATACCTTAACTCTTATTTAGTTAACACTGCTTTATTATCTATAAACAGTCAAACATCTAATCGGAACCCATCGGACGCAGAACTTTTAATGCGCTTGTCGAGAATAAACTATTTTGCACTCTATCAACCTGAACAATCGCTTCAAAATATTAAGAAGTGCTTACATTTTGATCCTGAGCACAAAGAATGTAAAGCCATTTTCCGACGAATTAAAAAACTAGAAAAGAGTGTATCCCGAGTCGAAAAAGATATGGAAGGGCATCGATGGCAACTAGCCATCGATAAGTTGTTTGGGATTGGAAGTGAGAAAGGTCACGGATTAATTAAAGAAATCAAAGAAGAGCATCGTGGTCTAAAAGAGGGACGTTCAAGTGAAAAATTATTTATAAAATTATACGAATTGACATGTAAAGCTTATAAAGAGGTATTTTTTATTTCATTATCTTGAAATTATATGTGTTATTTAATATCAACGATTAACACTATACATGCGGTGATAGTTGAAAGATGGACATAAAGCAATTAAATGGTGTTCGTCTGCTCTAAATCTCGACTCTGAAAATATCGAGGCACTAATTAACCGGGCTGAAGCATATATATTGATTGAAGATTATGAAGCAGCAGCTCGAGATTATTCTAAAGCTCTCGAGATCAACAGTGAAGATGAGCGAGTCAAGAAAGGATACCAAAAAACACATCGTCTCCTAAAGTCGTCAAAATCCAAAGATTATTATAAAATACTAGGAGTACCGCGTTCTGCGTCTAAAAAAGACATTAAAAAAGCATTCCGTAAACTTGCACAAGAATGGCACCCAGACAAATATAGAGGAAGTTTATCACGTGAAGAAGTTGAGTCCAAAATGAGTGCAATCAATGAGGCTTATGAAGTTTTAAGTGATGAAGGTAAACTTTGGGAATACTTTTAATTTTAAAGTTAAGTTTGGTAAACTAATTTATTTTTTTTGTAACTTTAGAATTACGGGAACGGTTTGACAACGGAGAGGATCCAAATGATATTTCGGGTGGGTCCCAACAATTTCATGGCAATCCTTTTGCTCATTTCGTCAAGACAGGAGGTGGTAGTTTTTCTTTTGGTGGTGGTTTTCCATTTGGATCATCTCAAAGTGAAGGAAAAAATCCTTTTGGTGAATGGCATTTTGCATTTTAAAAAACATTGCATTTTTATATTAAATTATTGTTGAAATATGGAGCATTTTTTATTTACAAAGCATTTCATTGGACATTAAAATTTTGTAAAATTACGAATATTGATCTATAACTTGTATTTATGTAAGAAACTCGAAATTAGCATCATACATGACTATATCCAAAATTAGTATCTTATAATAAATTTATATAGTCGAATTTGGTTATAACGAATCTTAATTATAACGAAGATCGAACTTATAAACGAAGATTTCTCAGAAAAACTACGATTACAAAAATATTAAAAAATTAGTTTGACAAAATATTGATTTAATAATTTCAATAACAACATTTTGATTAGCTCAATATGATCCAAAATTACTTGTTTGCAAGTTTTGAAGTATACAGTTGAGAGAGAAAAATGAATTGTTTAAGTATTAAAAGAAATTTGTTTTATTATATTATTTATTCTCAAGTAATGTTCCTATGAACTGAACCGAACTGAACTTTGGCTTGAGTTCAAGAAAGGTTCAAAGTTCGAACTGAACTCAAACTGAACCGTTATACGAGTTCGAGTCTGGTTTGAGTTCAATTAAAAATCATCATATAATATTGTTACCATTCTACCTTTCATTAACTATATCACGTTATATTTTTAGCGCAGTAATATTTATTTGAACTTTTTCTTTTATTTTTACTTTTCTATATTTCTTATATTTTTATCCAATAGCATTAATTTATATTTTTATTCAATTATTTTACATTGTTACCATTTCTGTTGGTTTATTAACTTTCAAATATAGATCACGTGTTCTTCACGTATTTCAATTAAGTGGGAGAGTTATTAAAGACTTTTATGTGTTTAAGTAATTAAAGTTGGGAAAGACTAATTTAATAAAGATAGGTAACGACGTGTTTGTTTTGTTGAACTACTAGAATGAGTTCAGAAATCTTCTTTTGATTTAAATAGTTTAATTGTTAAGTAA